TCTCATACGTTGGAGTTCTGGTTCATTTTTAAGCTTTTGTAGAACTGGGGCAATAAAGGTCAAGCGTAGATCCTCATAGTAACTACAGTGCAGCAATACATGCAGACTTGTTTCCACTTCCGATGAGCCACACGGGCAAACACGTGACTCATATGGTTTGCCCTCATATCTGCCTAGCAGCAGGGCAGAGGGCAGAACGTTAAATCTGGCCAGGGTAAAGGAGTGTCTGTACTTAGGTATTTGTAAATCAGCCAAATAATTTGCGGGTGAGAACCCTCTCCCAAAGTCTCTAATTATGGCATGTTTATCCATTTTGCCCATATGACATTGCAGCTCTATGTCCCTAATGCGTTGGAGCACTTGACTTCTGGCTCTCTCATATCCTGCCGCTATCAAGATCTGCGGGGAGAATCCCAAGCTTCTTATCTTTTCAAACAGGGAAGCTTTCCAGGTGGAATGAAAGGTGTCTAAGAGTGTTAAAGGAGCCAAACCGGCCGGGGAAAAATCAGTTTTAACCAGTAGTGTATCTTTAGAATCCACAGCCGCGCATTAACGGGTGGTTGTCCAACTTCTAAGCGGACAGCTATATTAGATACACAGGGGGGGATCCCCAATAAACACCGATAGAATTTTGTTTGAAATGCCTCCATAGGCGCAAAATTTTTAAAACTGCAAACCTGGGATCCATAAGTAAGTTGTGGGAGTATTTTTGCAGCAAAAACCTGGGAGGCCGCCGGAACGTATTTACCCCTTTCCCGTGAAAAAATCTTGTAAGGGCTTTATTAGCCCTTCCTGCGTTGGCAATGGCGTTTTCATCTGTTGATGCCACGAGACCCTTTCCTGAAAAGTTATTCCCAGGTATTTGAAAGTTGCTACCTGGTCAATAGGTTGACCATTAATTCTCCATTTGTGTTTCCTTCTTTTTGAAAACACCATAATTTTAGATTTGCTGTAATTTATTGATAGTTGTTCCGCTTGACAATAGTCAGCAAGTGATCTCAAAAGCTTCCTCAGGCCAATGCAGGAAAAGGAGAGTAGGACTGCGTCGTCCGCATACAGAAGCACCGGGATGGGAATACCTGCCAGTTTGGGAGGGTGGGCATTTTCTTTCGCCATATTTACTGCTAGAGAGTTGATATAGAAATTAAATAGCGTTGGCGCGAGGACACATCCTTGTTTAACCCCATAGTGCGTTTGAATTTCTTTAGTTAGATGGCCTGACCGATCGCATCTTACCCTCACCCTGGTGTTTTCGTATAGACCACGGATAAGGCGTAATAAGCGTTTATCTATGTTTGTAGCGCCAAGCTTTTCCCAGAGTCTATCCCTTGGTATTAGATCAAACGCCGATTTAAAATCCACGAATGCTGCATATAAAGACCCCCCTTTTCTAGAATATTTGTCTGCCAGGTGTTGAAGGGTAAGGGCCTGGTCTATAGTTGAACGCTTTGCTCTAAAACCGGCTTGAGCTTCTGATAGAATATGCTCTCTTTCCATCCACTCCACTAATTTATCACATAAATGAGCAGCATACAGTTTGCTAATAATACTTAATAGACTGATTGGTCTATAGTTAGCTGGCTCAGTTCTGTTTCCTTTCTTAAATATTGGAATGATGATGGCTAAACCCCAGTCCTCGGGGATAATAGCCGCTTGATTTATACTAGTGAACAAGGCGGCTAGCACAGGGGCCCACCATTCGACATTTGCCTTAAGAATTTCTGGTGGGATATTGTCAGCACCCGGGGCTTTCCCTGATTTAAGAGCTTGAATAAGTCCAGTAATTTCTTCTATGGTTACAGGGGGCCATTCCTTACCAAATTCACTTGAAGCAGGAAGCAGAGCTGGGGCCAGTTGATTTGATGAATATAATGAGAGGAAATAGGCCTCCCATGCTCCAGCGGGTATAGAGTATTCGATTTCAATCGGGAGTCTCTCCAGCTTTTTGCAATTATTTTCCAAAACGTGGCAGAATCTTTCCTTTGGGAGGCCTCCACTAGGCACTGCCATTCCTCCCTTTGTGCCTGGAGCTTTTTCTTGCTAATCAAAGCTTTATAACTGCGTTTTGACTCAAACCAGTCTAATGGAAGCGAAGGTAAGTTCGCTGTTCTATAGTTCCTGTACTTATCCAGCAGGAGGCGTTTCATAGCCATGCATTCTTGGTCAAACCAAGGTTTGGATTTATTAAAGTGTAGAGATTGCCGTGGCGTTTTTTGTTGGTCAGATAAGGTTGTAGCGACGAAATCAGTTCCCGGAACATGTCTAATCTGGCCTCAGGAGTTGGGGAATTAACGAGGTTCTCCTTTCTAGCAAGAAAAATATCTGAGTGAAGTCTTTCCGATATTTCATCACTCAATTTGCTGGACCATTTAATACGTGAGTATCTTAGCTCCATGTTTTCGAAGCATGGGGCTACAAGTTTATCAGAGCAAAATAAATCTTTTCTTACATCCAGTATTAAACAGAACGGTAGATGGTCGCTGTCAACCCTCTCCACCACTTTACATTCCCGTGCTCTGCTCAAAAGGTTAGATGACACCAGGACGTAATCGATAGTGGAGGCTCCCATGTTGGATATAAATGTAAATTCCCCACTGGGTTCTCTGTCGACACGACCATTTAATACAGTCAAATCCAGATTGTTGGAAAAACGTAGAAGGCATAGGCCTGCGTAATTGCAGCCCTTGTCTTTTGAGAGCCTTGGGGAATAGAATGGGCTTCTTCAGAAATGGGAGGTACGTCGTGAAAATGAGCATATAACGCTTCGTCTGATTGGCCAATTCTGGCATTTAAATCCCCAGCCAGCAGCACTGCCGCAGCAGGAGTTTGATTCATTAGCTCATCGACATAAGATTCTATCCTATGCCAGAGATTTTTGATAAGCTGCTTGCCTCTTTGGGGAGGGGCATATATATTAATCAATAGAAGTGTGCAATATCTGCATTTCATCAATAATGCCATGGCCACACTGCTCAGAGGCTCCAGCTCGACGAAAGATGCTCTCAGCCTTGTGGATATTAAAATGCCTAGCCCACCCTTAACTCGTCCCCCTTTGTTGCTTGGTGAGCCTGCGAGCGAAAATGAGGCAAAACCATTTACATCTAGATCCCCTGTTAGCCATGTCTCTTGCAAGAAGACTATATCATGATCTTGAATAAAATTGACAAATGATTGGTCAGTCGCCTTGTTGAGCCAACCAGCAATGTTCCATGATAAAAATTTAAGATTGGCTTTATCACAATCAAATCTTTGTCAATTATTAGCTAACGTACTTTTAGGGTTTGTCGCTTTATGTATCGGACGCCTATCGTCTTTGAATGGCGGGCTATCCAGCCGCTCTATGATTTCAATAGGTGGATGCAAAGTGCTCACGTTTGTGAACACCAGCTCTTTATTATGCATAAATTCCTTCTGTGGATAGTCTGTTTTGGCCTGATTTTGGCCCAATTCTGTTTCATCTAGGTATCTCATTTTGTCCCATACGTCTTGTGGGGTCACCTTGGGGATATTTCTCTTTCGGGGGTGATGGAGTACTCTCCTTGAAGGGTGGCACATTCTCTCTTGGTGGAAAGTTAATCTCCGCTTTGATCTGAAGGTTACGTGTTGTGGTCTTTTTTTGGTCCCCCTTGATAACCTCGTTGCCTGAAGCTCTCTCAGCCAGCTTATCTCTTAGCTTATCTAGTCTTCCCAAGATGTCAGTTTGTATTAATGGTGGGAACATCCAGAATTGGTCAATTAGGATATTTTCTTCCATAGTAAAGAAATCCTCACCTTTACTTGCAAGGCATTGCGGGTTCTGTTTGTCAGGCCAGGATTTTGAGAGTTGTTTCCCCTTTCTAAGATTTGCCTGCTTAGTTTTCAAAAGGGGGCTCAAAGGAGCCTTATTTTCAAAGAACCTAAGTATTATTGTCCGTGCTTTTAAAAAGGCAGGTCTTGACCTAAAAATATACTTGGCCAGGTTCTGATCCCTAAAAGTGGTCAGTGCTCTCACTGAGTGACCATCATAATGTAAATATTCCACCGAGGTGATATCATTAGCATTAACCATTCCTGGCAGTATGTCATTTAGACTAGATACAAAGTTCATTATTCGCTGTTTCCCTGTAAGGAAGCCCTTAGGCTTCGGGAAGTTCGTGAATACCAGTTTTTGGGGATTTAGGATCAAATTCCAATCTCTTTTCTGACTGGAGGCTTGCCAGGTCTGAAGGGGGGTATCATCTCTACTAAACGCTTCCTCTTCCCCGCTGTTCGGTTTACTAAGTGTTTTATTGCCTTCATAGAAAGAGGCCTCTACTTCCGCAGCATCAGGTTTATTAAAAAGTTGGTTATCCAAGGACTGAGTTGTTACTTCTGCCTTCTCATTTGCTACTGGAGTCAGCCTTAGCGAGTCCTCCTTAGCCGGTTGCTGTGTAACTACCTTTGTTTCTCTCTTTTTACCCTTCTTTTTGCTGCCCCGTGTGGTCGATTTATTTGGGGCTGGGGGAAGAAGTTTAAACAATTTCTGCCAATGTATGTTTCGATTACTGCGGGTATGCTTGGCTATCCTTGTTGTTTTAATATTTTTACTTTTCTTCACTTTTACCCTTGAGTTATGTCTTTGCAGATTCTTATTTATTACTGGTTTGTTCATCGACGCTAGCTCAACTGTTTTATGTTCTTGTGGCATATCATTTAATTTTAACTCTTTTAATTGAGATGTGAAATTTTCTACTAACGTCAGCAGTAGCCCATTTGTTATTGTTAGATAATTTTTATGTTGGCTAAATCAGAACTTATTGCTAGGGAATAATCCAAAGGGCGACCGTCACTCAATTCTGTTTGAGAGTATTTTGGAGTAAGTATCTGGTTTTGATGGGTTGATGTAATTTCTTCCGTGGGCAGCTGTTCCTTAGTAATAGAGGTATTTCCCTCCTGAAGTTCCTCGGCTAAAGCTAGTTCTTGCGCTAGGCTGCATGGGGAGTTAATATTTCCAGTATCTTGGTATATCTCTTTAAAATTAGATGTCCAATCAAGAACAGTAAGAGAGGGGGGTATTACTTCATCAAGAATTAACTCTTTTTGTGGACTCTTACCCTCCTCCATCTTAGGAAAGTAATTTGTGATTTTGCTTTGTCTTTTACCAGGGCCCGAGGGGCTGATTGCCGAGTCAGGCAGTATACCCAACTCCTTGTATTTTCTCCTAGTAAAAACCATGGTAAAAGTGGTCTCGATATAGAGAGAGGGCAGTTTACCCCAGGTGCGACTGCCTTAGATTGGGGGGCAAGTGGGGGTATCAATCTATATTCCCACCTGCTCTCTGCAACAGCTTCCTGATGTGCTCATCAACAGCCTCAATATATTTCTCTATTTTGAGTTCTCTGCTTTTAGATCTTGGCAATTGTCCTAAGCCTGTAGTTTTCACCTCAATCATGCGACCAGCGCTGTTTCACAAATGCTGCAACCTAGTCAGAATATAATAATAAAACAATGCTGCCAAAGAGACAGCAGTAATAAAACGGCTAAAAACTACATTAAAATTAAAATTGCCTTATTTAGGCAATTTGTGTGCAGCTGGAAAAGGATAATAGTGGAGTTTGGCTATAGCGCATGTACAGCTATGATAACCTTGTATTTCGGGTCTTAGCTTAGTCTTTAGAGGCCATCTTCCACCGCCCCATACTGAACGAAGGATATCCAAGAGCCCCAGAAGGGAAACTTTCTGTGGGCTGGTTCGCTGATTCCTTCTAGGTAGTCTTTCAAAGGCCTACCACATAAGGCAGGGCACAGAACGATATCTTGCTGAAGCCGGTTTTCCAAACCTCCAGAAGGTCCTATCCGATACACTGTTGTGGAGTTATTGTGTAGATTAAAAAATTCCTGTAAAAGACTCAGGGTGCCTTCACCAGGAGTCTCTGAGAATATAAAAGCTGGTCTCCTCGAAAGAGTTTATTAAAATGAAGAGTCTTTCCAGCTACAGCACTTCCTCTTCAACTAAGCAGGAATGTTGTCCCCAGCTAGTTCACACAGCCCCCCAGCTGGGCGGGGGTCAGTCAGTTCAGTTAACCCCCGAATCTCCAAGCTTTATCTTTCTCTGTGTTCAGCTGAGCTGGGTGTCTATGGGCCAATCTCAAAGCAAAGCTCACAGTCGTATCTCTCCTTACCCTCCTTCTCCAGGCACCGTTGGTCGGATAAGCAGTTCACAGTTCTGTCTTTAGACCTCTTCTGTCTCTCTGCTCTCAGTTCAGGCAGCAGCGTTCTCTCCTCTCTGGCAACCTTGACCGGGCAGCTGATAAGGAGGGAGGGAGCAGGCTGGGACAAGCTGAAGCTCACAGAGCCGACAGGAGTTATAAAAATGTTCAGAGTCTTTAAAATGTTTTCCGTTTGTTAAAAATTGGCATCCGGAGGGCAATTAAGATAAGGTTTTTTAAAAATAAAAGTGAGCGCCGGAGAGCGTGACTTGCCTCGGCGCCATCTTGGTCAGAAGATCGAAGTGATTCATTTTTATGACTAAGAAGATGTTCAGCTAAGACAACTTATTCAGAGACCTGAGTTTTTTATTCCATTTGCTTCCATCTTTTATCAGCTTCCCTTCTGCCCTAGAAGGAGCTCTAACTGGGTGGTTGAAGATATCCTTGTGGCATTCACTTTAGTCTCGCAACTGTGGGGTTTTTTTATTTTTAATTTGAAAGACTCCCACTTCATATAGCTGCATCCTATGTGGTTCTAGCAACAGATGAACTGAGGAAATTAACATGGAGGACAGGTCTCCTGTGTAGTTTTTGTATCGGAGCCACTGACCCTCATTTTTATGTGAGGACTACGGGAAGATTTCCACATAGCCTGTTCCTGCCACATAATTTTAAATTCTGAAAATCTATCCCCACAAGCATTTCTGAAGCTGGATCAGTTTATGAGTCCTGTTGCTATTAGGAGTCACTGGGACGGAACTTGAACTCTTCCAACTGTCAGCCTGTGGAACCCAAGATAAAAGCAAACAGTTGGCTGGCTCTCTTGGAAGTGGCAAAGATGGCTCAGCAAAACTGAAACAGCCTCGGCAAAGAAGGCATGTGAGAACCTTCCCTGAAGCAAGGACAGTTGAAATTATTTCCCTTTTAGAGTTAGAGCAGCCATTATTTAAACAAGGGTGGGGGGTGGAATAGCAGGGATTGTAAAGCCCCATATTTTTTGTTCTGTTTGCATGGAGAGCTTTCTGTGGATTTTTTTGAGAAAAACAGAGGGATTGGGCATCTTTAAATCTGTCATTTACTGGCCGTGTAATCAAATCATATAAAATTGGAAATGGGTGACCTCTCCAAAGTTTGTGCTGGTGATATGAACCCTACCATAAGCTTTGGGTCACCCTAAATCATACATTATCATCTTCAGGAGACTGCCTTCTACAAGACAGCATGCAGTTACAATTGGCCCAATGATTTTGTTTTGCTGGATTTTTCTTTTGCTACATTCCATTGGGGAGTATTACTGTATTTGCATGTATCTGACTCTCATTTGTAATGTTTTACCTGGATTTTTAGTAATGCTCTATTTAAGACAGAAAAACTACTTAGAGAGTACTTTTAAAATGTGAAGTGGTATAGAAATGGTTTAAAGAAAGACATGTTTAATTTGGGCACAAGATAATGCCAAGTATGGCACCCCCATGCCAATAATAGGCAATGTAGCAATTCATTAATCTGCTGAAGAAAGTATTACACTTTCTGTTTAATAATAATAGATATAATTATTTACATTAATTATATTATAATAATGATATAATTATAATTACAAGTTGCCAATATGGTGTAGTGTTTAGAATGCTTTATAATATTATTAACATTGTAGGAAGGACAAAGAGATTCTTTTGCATATATTGGGAGTATTAAATAGATCTTTGGTATTACTTTGGTTTTATCATTATGCTTGAGGCTTTCAAATGAGTTTTTTTCTTAATGTGAATACCCACATTTAGCTTTCTGTTGTTCTACCATATATCTCTGTTGAAAAAACAGGAGTAATGGGGGTATCTATGATTGAGTATTATTGTTTCCTGCTCATAAGAAATAATTTGATCCTGCACCTACCAGTTGCTTATAGTCTGCATCTGGGGTGGGAACTAAATCTTCTTTCTGCCATACGTGAACCCAGTGTTTGGAACAGGAAGCAGGTTTCAGCTTGCAGTTTCCATAGCACCTAAGGGGACTCTTTGATGACCAAGCATGTTGCTTTTACCTGCATCCTTGTTGTCTTTCTTGATCACTGTATATATTGTGTGACTATTGGGGGACCAGCTTTATATATAGCTTTGAATTAAATGCACATTTATATTATTTTTACAATTACAGATGGCGCTGTTGCAGCTTTATCTTGTGCTTACAGCTGTTCTACAGCTTTCATCAGGACTTTCCTACAATGTAAATAGTAAGTTGTATTTTACTTTATTTCACCTTCCTATTCTTGCGTACGGGTTAGTTACTAGTGTACTGAATCTCGCAGCAATGCATTTGCATGTGCTGTGATTTGCAAAGGACTCCATAAAGATCAGAACTTTATTTTGTCCTAGTGATGTATCACTATAGGGCCCACCAAAGGGAAATGTGTGCACACAGTTTGGGGAACTGAATCCAATATATTTTATATATATATATATATATATATATATATATATATATTACTGCAGCAGATTCAAGAAGCTTCTTTAAAAAAAACCGCCATATTAAAGAGCAAGAGATATTTGCTAATGATGTTAAATGTGTGTTGTCTAGGAGTCAAGTGAGCCTCAGTGAGAGCTTGGAAAGATACTGACTGAAGCACAAAGGTTAATTAGGTTGTCCAAACCCATGCGGTCTTGCCTTGGTTTAAAGATTGCCATAAATATATTATTTATTTTCTTATTGCCCACCCTAAACCCCATGTCTCCCAGTAAAACTTCCTTCCTGAGACTGCTAATAATATCAAATGTTGTTGATGTGATTATTACTACTGTATTTTTTATTTATAACTCACAAAAGCCAATGCAATCTATTTCAGTCCCCAATTTCATTTTTGATTTGAGTTTCAGTATATTCTAGTTCTGTAATATCATCTTTGAATATATTAGTGTTCAATATATATTTTTTCCTCACTCAGTGGTGGCCAATTCGAGTTTTTCTTGCTACACAGGAGATGAGCGGAATATGTCATCTAAGGCAATTAAACTGTTTCTTTCAGATAAAAGTTTGGTAAGTTTCCAGCAATGTATTTCCAGTTGCAACTGAATGGGGAGTAGCTCAGCAAATAATGCATTTGTATTATGGCAGTGGGGAATAACCTGCCGATACACCATTCTTCGGTTCAGCAGAATTAGCTAATCAATTCTTTTAGCTATTTCCCTCCCCCCCCCTCCAAATTTAGGGAAAGGGAAGGGAAGGAGAAAGTAATTAAAATAAGGGCATGGTACTAGTTTATAAATAAATACCAACAACAGTAAGAAAGAACTCATCGTCAGTTCATATTATGGATACCGATAACCATTGGTGCATAAATCATAGAAGTTCATTTAAGTTCTCCAAATGTCCAGATAGATATCCACACAAAGTTGATATCTAGATGACATACCATATTTTTTCGTCTATAAGACGCCCCTGTCTATTTTGGGGCCCTCAAAATTTAGAAGATAGGCGGGATTGAGCTTTTGGGGAGGATTATTTGGTGGGAATGCCAAAAATCGCTCGCCTGCCAAAACGCAGCACACAACCGAGTGACGCAAACAGAAACCACCTATCAGCTCCCCGATTTCCACCAGCGGCCACCAATCATGCTCCCGCTTGCTGCGACAAAAGCAGCTGTCTATTAGCTGCAGCAGCGGCAATCAGGAGGGCTAACGGTGGTGATCAGGCAGCTGTGATGCAAGCGGTTGTGTGCTGTGTTCCGGCGGGTGAGCGATTTTTGGGGACCCCCCCCCCCACAATCAAGCAGCCAATGCCGAAAATTGCTCAGCTTCCACAATAAAGCGCAAGCCCGAGTTTTTAAGTGGCGATTGGCCGATTGGGGGGAGGAGATGCCAAAAATGGCTCACCTGTCGGAACGATGTGTGAGCCTGAGATTGTAAGTAGCAATTGTGACACGAGCAGTTGTGTGCTGCATTCAGGCAGGTGAGCGATTTCCGGCATCCCGCCCCCCAACAATCAAGCGGCCAATCGCCGCTTACAATCTTGGGCTTGCGCCAAAAAACCTTTCGCCCGTCCCTTCTCAGCACTACCTGTGTATAAGACAAGCCTAAATTTTGAACCTCATTTTTTGGTCAGAAAAGCTCGTCTTGTACACAGAAAAATGTGGTTTGTTTAAATGGATTGTTAGCTCTCATCACTAACTTAATCGGAAGCGGTTAGACTCAGAAGCTTAGCTAAATGGAGTGAAATATTATTGGTTATTCAGTCTCCCCTTGGATTTAACAACACCATATGTGATTTAAAGAACTTTTATTTATTTATTGGCATCAAAACAAAACATGGCATTGCAGTTTGTTTAAATAAACAATAAAAGGGTGTTCTAGCTTCTGCACTTGCTGCAGCTATGAATATAGCCAGGTAATTTCTTTCTTTCTTTCTTTTTTTTAATGATATTTATTAAAGTTTCAAAAAATACATGAAAATACAGAATAAAGAAAAAAAGTATAAAGTTTTTAAGATATAACAAAAAAGTAAAAAATAAAGAAAAACGTACAAAATAAAACAGTTAAAAACACATTAATTTTCCATAGCCTATCTTCCTTACACTTATTTCCCCGAACCTCCTCATACCTCCCTTCTTTGTATTCCAGTTCAGTTTGTTAGTTCAGCAAATCCTTACCATTAAACTTTTACCCAATTGTTAACCTTTTTTTTTTTCATATCTCTTAAAGCATTGCAGCTAAAAACCTCTTAGTTTCTATCCGACATCCTTCTAAAATTCCTTAATTTTGCAATATTTCTGTAAATAGTCTTTAAATTTCTTCCAGTCTTCTTTCACCGACTCTTCTCCCTGGTCTCGGATTCTGCCAGTCATTTCCGCCAATTCCATGTAGTCAATCACCTTCATCTGCCATTCTTCCAAAGTGGGTAGATCTTGTGTCTTCCAATACTTTGCAATGAGTATTCTTGCTGCTGTTGTAGCATACATAAAAAAGGTTCTGTCCTTCTTTGGCACCAGTTGGCCGACAATGCCCAAAAGAAAGGCCTCTGGTTTCTTCAGAAAGGTATATTTAAATACCTTTTTCAGTTCATTATATATCATTTCCCAGAAAGCCTTAATCTTTGGGCACGTCCACCAGAGGTGAAAGAATGTACCTTCAGTTTCTTTACATTTCCAACATTTATTATCGGGCGAATGATAAATTTTTGCAAGCTTGACTGGGGTCATGTACCACCTGTATATCATTTTCATAATATTCTCTCTTAAGGCATTACATGCCGTAAACTTCATACCTGTGGTCCATAACTGTTCCCAGTCAGCAAACATAATATTATGTCCAACATCTTGTGCCCATTTAATCATAGCAGATTTCACCGTTTCATCCTGAGTATTCCATTTCAACAGCAAGTTATACATTCTTGACAAATTTTTAGTTTTGGGTTCTAACAATTCTGTTTCTAATTTTGACTTTTCCACCTGGAAGCCTATTTTCTTATCCAAATTATATGCCTCCATTATCTGATAGTAATGAAGCCAATCTCTCACTTTATTTTTTAATTTTTCAAAACTCTGCAATCTCAATTTATCTCCTTCTTGCTCCAAAATTTCCCAATATGTCGGCCATTTGGCCTCCATATTGAGCCTTTTCAGAGCTTTTGCTTCCATTGGTGACAGCCACCTTGGGGTTTTATTTTCCAATAAATCTTTATATCTTATCCAAACATTAAACAATGCTTTCCTAACAATATGGTTTTTGAATGCTTTGTGTGCTTTGACCTTATCATACCATAAGTATGCATGCCATCCAAATACATTGTTAAAACCTTCTAGATCCAAAATGTCTGTGTTTTCAAGAAGTAGCCATTCTTTCAGCCAGCAAAAGGCTGCTGATTCATAATAAAGTTTAAGGTCTGGCAGGGCAAATCCACCTCTTTCCTTGGCATCAGTTAATATCTTAAATTTTATTCTGGGCTTCTTGCCCTGCCAGACAAATCTAGAAATATCTCTCTGCCACTTCTTGAAACAATCCATCTTATCTACAATTTGTAATGTCTGAAACAAAAACAACATTCTAGGCAATACATTCATCTTTATCACAGCAATACGGCCCAGCAGCGAGAGTTTCAAATTTGACCAAATTTCTAAATCTTTTTTCACTTCCGTCCAACATTTTTCGTAATTATCTTTAAATAAGTTCCCATTTTTGGCTGTCATATTAATCCCCAAGTATTTCACTTTCTTTACCACATTCAATCCTGTCTCATTCTGAAACCTCTCTCTTTCAATCGGTGTTAAGTTTTTCTCTAAAACCTTAGTTTTTAACTTGTTCAATTTAAAACCTGCCACCTGACCAAATTCCTGAATTAATTCTAAAACTCTTTTAGTGCTAGATTCTGGCTCCTGTAGCGTCAATACTAGGTCATCTGCAAATGCTCTCAGTTTATACTGTTTAGCTCCGACCTGTATGCCCTTAACCAACCGGTCCTTTCTAATCATATTTAACAGAACCTCCAGGACCGATATAAAAAGCAGTGGGGAAATTGGGCACCCCTGTCGTGTCCCTTTTTCTATCTTAAATTCTTCCGTAACCACATTATAGCCAGGTAATTTCTTTTACGTGCTGCAAGGCTAATGAGTCTGGAATCAGGATTCTCCCTTTCTTCCCTCCTGTCCTATGGACAGCATGAACTTCATGGAGCTACATCAGGGGTTGCCAACCTTTGGGGGGGGGCAGTGGACACATTTTGAATTTGAAGGAAGTGCTGTGAGTGCCAGTCACAAAATGGCTGCCATGGGGAGTGTGGCATAACACATCTTGGCTGCTGTGCGGGGCATGGAAAAACACAAAATTAGTCACAGTACAGCCATTGCTGCTGCTCCCACCCGCTTCCTGAACAGCCTCCCCGTGGTTGGCAAGCAAATAGGATGGAGCAACAGGCAAGAAGGGAAACCATCCCTGCCAGTTTTTGCCCTGTGCAAATCCTTCAAAACCAACCAGATTCTGAGGGGGCATTTTTTCTCTTTTGAGATAAAACTTAAAATAAAAAGCCAGGGACCACCAAGCTGGTGCCTGTAGGCATCATGGTGCTCAGACCCTCGAAGAAAGACCCCTGTAGATGCTGGGTTAGCAGTTCCTGAGGTAACTGCAAAGAAAGACCTCAGGATATTGTAATTTTCGCAGGAAGGGGCCTTGGGGTGCAACAGAAGATAAACTTAAACATTTTAGGCCTTGCCTGAAGTCTCTCCCCTCACAGTTCTTCCTCCAGGCACAGCTCCCTTATGAGGAGTCCCAGGGCAGGAGGGTGGGGCAAGGCAGGTGGAAGGAGGCCTGGCCTGATGAAGAAAGCCTTGCCAACACTGCCTCAGGATATTGTCAGAGAAAGGAAGAGGAAGGATGGCAGGAAGGGGCCTCGGGGTGCAACAGAAGGTCAAACTTAAACATTTTAGGCGTTTTGGCTCATTAAACCATCTATGGCCTTTTAAATGTGTCTTGGGGGGGATCTATTGTGAGATTTTTTGCTATTATATTACGGTACATATTTTGTGCTTTTATATTGTAAACTGCCCTGTGATATTCAGGTATATTAATTTGTTAGATAATGATCATTTTCTCTACTTTAACCCTAAATTGCCTAATTCTCTGTGGCACTTGCCCATGCCAGCCAAAAGCAGGCAAAATCACCTGAGAGAGGGGGAGGGCAAGTTGTCCCACAAAATGAGGATTTCTACCTTCCTTTCCTTTCTGGCTCCTTAAAGCCTTCTTTATTGCAGCTTCCGCTTTTGAAATCAACAGTCCAGTTTGTTAGGTTGCCATTTAAAGTTTTAATAATTCCAGATGTTGTGGATATGTGCTTCGTATGTTAATCCTGGGTTTTTTCCCCCTTGTTAAAGATTGTCCGCTGTCATTTGTATAATATCAATAAGCCCGACACCTTGGAGAACAGACGGAAGAATCTAGTTCTTTTTACTTCAGCTGGTCTTGCTCCCAGCATCCAGATCTTCAACAGTACCTACTCCAAAGTCTTCTACTTCAAAATGACTCTGGTAAAGCATTGCGGAAGGGCTCATAGCACATCATTTACATGCAGAAGGTCCCAGGTTCACTCCCTGGCTATTTCCAGTTAAAAGGGATCAGGTAGCAGGTGGTCACCTCTGCCTGAACTCAGGACAGCCACTGTCACCGGATACTTAATTAAGCAATGCCATAACATTTGGCTGGAAACTTACAGTGGTCCAATGTGTAGCCCAAGGACCACATGCAGTCCTCAAGACCTTTTTTGGTGGCCCTCAGCAACATTTGACACCCCCTCAGCCCTTGCATTGCCTTCCCAAAGCCAGCTAAGTGAGGTGCTGGGTTTGGGAAAGGAGGCGCAAAGGCTCTGCCAAGGTCCTAGAACCCTATTACCTCCTTCCCGAAGCTGGGAAAGCGCTAACTGCATCAAGGCAGTTTGTGGCCCACAGATTACATGGTCAGAGTACTCTTGCGGCCCACTTGGTATAAAAGTTGGGCTAGCCTGAGCTAGATGGACAAGCAATCTGACTTGGTTTAAGGCAGGTTCCTTGGGTGGATCTACACTCATGGTTTTAAATGTTATTTCTAAGGTTTTAAACGTTATTTGTAAGGGCTACCTGCAAAATTTCATGTTTGGATCTCAATGTTTTGTATAGACATGTCTGCCATACTGGATTTTATTTAGGATAAATGGGTCTTTTGGGAGCAAAATATAACGGAAACAAACAAGACTTCAAACTATAATATCAGTTAGTCCAAGAATTTCTTTAGAACATGGGTAGGCAAACCCAATTACGTTCTAAATCCGGCCCGCAGACGGTCGAGGAATCAGCATCTTTTTACATGAGTAGAATGTGCCCTTTTATTTAAAATACATCTCTGGGTGATTTGTGGGGCCTGCCTGGTGTTTTTACATGAGTAGAATGTGTGCTTTTATTTAAAATGCATCTCTGAGTTATTTGTGGGGCATAGGAATTTGTTCATTTTTTCTCTTCAAAACATACAGTGTATTCTCGAATATAAGCCAACTTTTTCAGCACATTTTTTATGCTGAAAAAGCCTCCCTCAGCTTATACTCAAGTGAGGCAGGCGGTGGCAGAGAGATGAGCCCTTTTTTGCCCCTCGTCCCTCTGCCACCGCCCGTAAGCTATGAGACTATCAGCTACGAAAATTCATAATTGGAAAATCAGTCTGCACAGCAGTTTACCTAAATGTATGTGACTCTTCAAGTATTTAAGACTAAAAATCTTGGGTTACCATCCTTTCTTTAAACAAAAGGGAGAAGGTGTGGATTCGTGGAGTATTAAAATCAACCGAGAAGAGTTAACATATAATACAGGTGAGAGATTTATAATTTCCACTTATTTATCCTCACTGGCTATTGATGCTTCCTTGTGTTGTTGCTGCTGTTTTTGTACTCATGTAAGGTGGTGAGTACATCTCATTTCAAAAGAAAAATTTTGCACAAAATCCTGCTAGCAGGGGAGAAATTTGACAACTTGGTAGTGAGCATTTGGCACAATCTCAAATGGTGCATAAGTAGTATACCAACTTCAGTGGAGAGAAAGCCAGTTTCGGGATAATGTATATTGCACTTATTTTTGTAACTCACTCTATTTCGTGAAGGGTGTGTTATAAGTCTGAATAGAAAAAAAGAGAAAAATAAATTGGCCAGAAAAAATATGCAGGAATGTTCATTACTAAGAATTCAGTTGAAGAGCAGTGCACCATCGTAGGCAACATTTGAGAAGAGCATGTAGGCATCATCAACTTTGGCGATCGCTCGTAGCCGAGTAATATTGACGTAAGCATACAGTAATATCCACTTGTGTCTATCTGCAAGTGGAATGGGTTTCCACTTGTGCAACAAGGCTTTGCCCCCTGTGGACCCCTGAAATTTGCTCCAGAGGGTTTGGTCGTGGGGATTGCAAGAGGGAGGAGAAAAGGAAACCATGTTGTGTGAGCAAAAGCCTGTTTGCTTGACGTTGGATATCACCCATAATACTTGTGTACTTATATGACTAATCTGTCTCTGTCTTTCTTGTACATGCCGCTGAAACAGATGTTAATCCAATTGAGGAATGGTTTGTAAAATTTAATATGCATCATGGTTTAAATATGTTCACTACTACGGGAACCTTGTTGGATATCGTACGAGGTACGTCATAGCTCATAGGGAGTTTTTGCGGTTTTGTAAGTAATTCTGGTCTATTGGAAATTAGCACGAACACTAAGTATAAAGTTTTCTGAATTTATTCATATGATATAGAAAGTTATATTTATATTCCGCTTTTTTGGCCCAAAGTCTCCAAAGCAGTAAACAACATTGATACATATGAATAGAAAAGAAATTAATGATAAAACTGCAATACATCATCATCACAATAATAATAATTTATTATTTATACCCCACCCATCTGTCTGGATTTCCCCAGCCACTCTGGGTGGCTCCCAACAGAATATTAAAAATACAATAAAACATAATGTGTCACACCTTAAAAACTTCCCTGCCTTCAGATGTTTTCTAAATGTCAGGTAGTTGTTTATCTCTTTGACATCTGATGGGAGGGCGTTCCACAGGGCGGGCGCCACTACCGAGAAGGCCCTCTGCCTGGTTCCATGTAACTTTGCTTCTCGCAGTGAGGGAACCACCAGAAGGCCCTCAGAGCTGGACCTCAGTGTCCGGGCTGAATGATGGGGGTGGAGACACTCCTTCAGGTGTACTGGGCCGAGGCCGTTTAGGTCAGCACCAACACTTTGAATTGTGCTTGGAAACATACTGGGAGCCAATGTAGGTCTTTCAGGACCGGCGTTATATGGTCTCAGCGGCCACTCCGAGTTGCCAGTCTAGCTGCAACATTCTGGATTAGTTGTAGTTTCTGGGTCACCTTCAAAGGTAGCTCCATGTAGAGCGCATTGCAGTAGTCCAAGCGGGAGATAACCAGAGCATGCGTCCATGGGCAGATAGGGTCTCAGCCTAGGGTACCAGATGGAGCTGGTAGAAAGCTGCCCTGGACACAGAATTAACCTGCACCTCCATGGACATCTGTGAGTCCAAAATGACTCCCAGGCTGTGCCCCTGGTCCTTCAAGGGCACAGTTACCCCATTCAAGACCAGGGAGCCCTCCACACCTGCCCGTCCCCCCAAAACAGTAATTTTGTCTTGTCAGTTGAAACAAAATATCATACTGGCAGGATTTCCAATGGCCACCATCATGAAAAAAGAGAGTATCGTGTGTGTGTGTGTATGTGTATTTTACTAAGAACAGGTCTAAGGAAGGTATTCGTTATTTGAAGTGGTCTCCTAGTACTCTTCAATTTCCAGCAGACTTAGACAACCTCGTCTCTTCTGTATGCCTTCACCCACTTCTGTATTTCCCCCTACCTTCCACCACAGTGATGGCAGTCCCATTCCCATCCCCCACCCCAACCCTGGACCAGACTGATAACGTCCTTTACTCACCTCCAAGGGTGTTCCCACAAATTTCAGAGATAGTCACATATTCCCTTCACTCAACTGTATTTTCTTTTTAAGTAAAAAGCAGAAAGAATTTTTGCTTTCTTAAACATTAGTGCTCTTTTGCAGATCCTCTTCTTCAGTGGTTTTGGACCCTTGGTGAAAACGTGGAAGTTAATGATACATTGTCTAAAGTAGCCAATATCAAAATAGCAAAAACTCCTTGTGCAAGTGATGTAGCAATAATTGGTCTGATTTATACAACAAGAAAAATAGGTAAGTGTCTTGCATTTTTACATAATTAGCTGATCCACCAGCTTCGTTTTCCAACTGGGTACAGTGGGATGTAAAAGTTTAAATAAAATAAGTGTACTTGTTTACTCAGAAGTAAGTCCCACTGTGTTGGCTAGGGCTTAATCCTATACTTGCTTGGGAGTAAGTCTCATCAAATGCAGTTGGTTTTGCTTGTGAATGCATTTGTTACACTTCTACTACACATGAGTGTTCTGCAACTAGCTGTTAACCTGTGAAATGCTGGCTCCGTGTGCATATGTGTCCCCTTGGGGAAGATTGTGTGCGAATCTAGGTCTATTATTTCAGGTCAGTAGGGGTGATGGTGGAAACCCTGCTTCTAAAGAGGACTTGCCTGATTCCATCTGAATAGATCACCACCTGGATCAAATCATGAGTCTACTTTAGAATTCACATTCCAGCAAATTCCTTTATGAGATAGTCTGAGGGTTCAGCACTGCCTCTGTTCCTATTTACTTTTTTCCCCTTCTAAAATGTTCCACTCTCTAGTAGGGTTGCCATATGTCCGTAATTTAACTGGTGAAAATAGTGTCCGGGGGGGATTTCGGAAAATTGGCTAAATGTCCGGAATTTTGAGCTCAACAACTTTGAGTTTCATTATTTTCTAAAATAATGTCTGCTCAATAGCTTTGAGTTTTCCAAAAAAAGCTCAGCAACTTTTACTTCTAGAAATATGGCAACCCTAGGCAGCAGGGAAAGGCCTTCTTGCTGCCATGTGCTTTGAAAAGAGTAGAGGAGCAAGTTCCCCTTGGAGCAACAGGACTGAGGATATTCTGTTGTTCTCAGAGGGCCTGGTGCAGCTTTCATGGACAATTCCCTCTCACAGCAATGGAAAAGACTTTGTTGTTGTTGTTTACAAAAAGATCATTTGCAGTTTTGCAAACCTTGTGCATCGCTGGCACTATTTTAGCTCGGCAAGCAATGACACTTGCATACTGAGCATTCAAAATAGATGGAATAAATGGTAGGTATGCATTTTTTGAAATGGTATCCCCTCCCCCAAAAAAGAAACAATTAATTTGAATTATTTGCTCACTGGTTTGTTTGTTTTTAGTCAAATATGTGTGTGATGGTGAAAAGCATGACTGCTAGAGCATTTTGCTGAGAATCTCAGGTGGGAAGGAGAGGACAGGACACAACCACTACACTGTAGCGTATTCTACAATAGCCATAGAAATACACCAGGGATATGTTTGCAACTGTCCCCCACCCCATACTGAACCACCTGCCTGTGCTTATTAACTTAGATATGTGGTACTAGAAAAGCAGGCAGACATGCTTTCTTTCAGTGTGTGCAAGTAGGTTTGAGCTGAGTATTTAAGGTCTGTAACTACATCTGTGGATACAGGGGTGCTTATTTCTGGATTTTGCTGCTGTTGGGGTGATTAGTTGTGCTTCTACCCAGGCTCAGCATATATTTGTAAATAAACTCAAATATCACAGAGAAACCTCCAGTCATCTCTTCATCAAAAGCAAACCAAACCAGCTACGCTGCTGAAATTTCTGGGAAATATGAAGCTTTATAACAGTGTCATAAATACTTGTAGCCTTGTTTTATACTGTGATTCACTTTTCATGTAATGCATTGTTTTCTTTCGTATTTGTAGGACTAATTGTAGGAGTGACTGACAGTGGATTTATGGATGGGGATACGGTATGGTTTAACTTGTCTGCTACCATTTGTGCCATCTTGGAAAACGGTAATTCTTATTTTCAATTGTTTAATTAACCCATATGCACTTCCTTTTTATTTGTAGCCTGTCCTACCCCAAGGCCTTAGGACATGTTGCACTTTCATAGAATGTACGGCATTGGTCTGAATATAGACTACACCCCTAAAATGAGATCTCTCAAAACATAGCTTCTCTATTTATAAAAGTGTCACTATAGACTGCACTCAGCTTTTATATGAGTCAGATTTTGGGGGGAAGTGTGGCCTATATTCAGACCAATACAGTAATTGTAGGTCTCAGAGTGAAGGTTGTGGTGTGATGTCCAGTTCAGAATCCTAGGATCTGGAGAGCCCTCCCTCATCCCTTTTCTTTGGACAGTGATAAGAAAGAATCTCTGCCTCCTTAGGTCCCAAATTTCAGCTTCTTGGATATGGGAACCCTCATCCCTCAGCATTTAGGGTCTTCTCTCCCTGGGGTGGGATTGACAGGTCAGAGTCTACAGCCTGTTTAGGGCTTTTGACTGACGCCAGCCTTGAATCTGGCATGTTGGGCTACTGCCGCTTTCAGCTGTGGTTCCCAGGGTTGCCATTTTTTTTACTCTGGAGTGCAGAACCTCCAAGTGTCCCTATTTTCCAGAGACAGTCCCAGATTTACAGGAGCTGTCTCGGTTTCTGATTTGATCCCAGAATGCCCCACTTTTTCTTAGGATAGCCCTATTTTCACCAGAGAAATACTGGAGGGTATGGAGTTATCTGACCCCCCAAGTCATCTGAAGGCAGCCCAGTATAGGGAAGGTGGTTTTTTAAATGTTTAATGTTTTATTGTTTTTTATATGTGTTGGAAGCCACCCAGAGTGGCTGGGGCAACGAAGTCAGATGGGCAAGGTCAGAAGAGTCAGCCTCTGTTCTTGCTGCCCCCTGAACTTGCCTTTGCTATATCTTTTTTTAAAAAATGCAGCAGAGGAGCACGGTTCGAAAGACCAGACTTCATCACTCCACCCTCTCTAAAAACCACATAGATCTAGACCTTCTTCAAATGCATATCATGTGCATGGATTGCCCAACAGATCTGGGTGTCTCAATATGGGTGTAATTTGCCATGTCTATAACAAGTAATGATGGAAGTCTGAGAGATGCAACTCAGGTTACTCACAGTGCCTTTTCTCTCCTCAAGATTGTTACGGACTTGCGCTTGTGGATCTCACCGTAACAAATACTCGTCTTGTACTCCTCACCTCACTAGGATTATTTATCAGTGATGATCTGCGCATTAAAACTGGAAAGCTGTTGCAGGTACATATGTGCACTTCTAAATATCCCTGTGTCCCTTTCCTCCAATCATCTAATGTTTTAAAAAACACTGGTAAGCATACTGCAAAAAAACTAAGTTTGGAAGATCTCCTCCTGAAATCTATTATCAGTTCAATGCCATACATGTCTGCTCAGAAGACAATCTCGTTCAGTTTAAGACTATAACCCTACTATACACAATTTCCTGCAATTAAGTCCCATTGAACATGGTGAGAACTACGTCTGGGTAGGCACATCTAGGATTGCGTTGTTAATCTGTGTACTAATTGTTCTCTTCCCAGTTCTCCTGATGAACTAAGTGTATGAAGAGGATAAGCTGGTTGCTCCAGCTTAGCTGCATGGCTTTCACAAGCCATTCTTGTGTTCCTATATCAATAATTTAGAAACTTTCACCACTTTGGAACTAAACCAAGTTTTACTGCCTGTGCAACGTTTTTGATTGATGTGTGGAAAAGCATATGAACCAAACCTTTGAAGAGAATTTGTATGTGAACCATTTTAACCTGGTGAGAGCCAGTGTGGTGTAGTGGTTAAGAGCGGTAGTCTCGTAATCTGGGGAACCGGGTTCACGTCTCCGCTCCTCCACATGCAGCTGCTGGGTGACCTTGGGCCAGTCACACTTCTTTGAAGTCTCTCAGCCCCACTCACCTCACAGAGTGTTTGTTGTGGGGGAGGAAGGGAAAGGAGAATGTTAGCCGCTTTGAGACTCCTGAAGGGGAGTGAAAGGCGGGATATCAAATCCAAACTCCTCCTCTTCTTTTTCTTACCACACATCTTTTTCTATGCTAGGGGAAGTGGGAAACTTTGGAAGGAACTTGAAAGGGCAAATTTTAAAGGTCTTAACAGCCTGGAGCAACCTAGCCAGATGGGCGGGGTATAAATAATAAAAAATATTCTCATATTCCTATGCTTCACGTTTGCTGCATATTTTGTGATTTTAAATATCTGCTGGGGTCTCTCAATAAAGAGTACTTGCCCCAAACTTGGATCTTGGTATCCAGGACTTCTCCTTTGTGTACCTGTTTTTTCTTTGCACCAACAGTAGCTTTGCTGCAATTAATAGATACCTCTTATATTAAGATCAATCTCTGTGGCCCTGCTTCAGGAGTGCTACCTTTAGAAGTGAAGGGGGTTGTGACAGGGCCTTTTCTGTTGTAGCCCCTTGTCTTTGGAAGCCTTTTCTGTTGTAGCCCCTTGTCTTTGGAAGCCTCTCCCCAGAGAGTTTTGCTGGCACCATTGTTGAATTCTTTTTAGTGATGGGTATGGTACTTGATTTCCTTAGGTGTTTTAGCTGTTGGTTTGTAGCTATTGCTTATTTCCTGTTATCTCACAGGAAAAGTACATGCCCTGGCTAGGTTGCCCCAGGCTGTTGGTGGAGGCAGGCTTCTTATGTCACTCAAAACAACCAATGATCATGTTAATAATATTGAGTGTAAGTGGTAAATGAATATGTAAAGTAATACACTTGTGAAATTCCTTGTGAAAAGTGTGGGAGAAAGTGATGATTCATACAATTTGGTCTTACTGTGTTTTATTTCAGTTCGGCAAACCAACCTTATGTGGCTTTGAAATGGTGAGAAATTGCTAAATGTTGTGTTTGTTGTTCTCAGTGGTGTGTTTTTGTAACATCTCACAAATGATGTTTTCTGAAACTCTTTCTGGCATTCGTTTTGTTAGCCATTTAGAAATAAGTGTCCCAAGGATCATAAATCATGTAGTATACAGATCCTAACAATGAAATCCAGAGACCCTGGTACACTGGGCAGAATGCTAACATTGGCTTAGTATTGACATCAAATGTGTTGTCAGAATCCTATGCATTTCCAGCTGCAAGTTCAAATGTAAATGGCAGCACTCTAAAGGAGAGAAAACTTAGCAATATATTGTGATACACACACCCACCCCAGCACTGACACAATGCAATCTCTGTATGCTAGGCAACTGACACCTGCAAGTCAGCCGTGTTGCTTCCATGCCCTCACCCACCTCGACGACACATAGAAGACAGAAGCTTGCAGGCACACACACAGAGCCCAATAAACATAGCTTTCTAGCGACAACACAATTGACAGGAAAACTCACAGGGAAGAAAGGTTGGCTAGCTCACCAGAACCCTTGGGTGGCTTTATGGCTCCCCTTGGGAGATGACGTTAGACAGAGGATCCACAAATGTCGGGGTCTGAGCAAACAGCGCCTCAGGAAGGAACTTTTTGACAACGTGAGGGAAGGACCACAATGAGACAAGTTATTCCTTCACCGGGAACCACGCTCAGGTAGCAAACAGAGGGAGGACTTAAGGCCTGCCAGGCATAAATATGGAATTAAGACAGCTCTCACAACTGTCATGCCAAAGGCACAAAATGGGAGGTTGCACCTTACACTCCAGCTCCCTTAGCCACACAGCTATACAAGCATCAGAATGTTATTTTTCACTCCCTAGCTTCCCACAGCATCAGGAATCAGTTGCTTGATGGCCAACGCCTTGCTTTTTATTTTCTCATAAGACACTGAATTTCATTTCTCCAACCCCACCCCCCATGCTGACCAACTGCGTGGTTTGTAGACAGGAGAATTATTGGGCCGTGTTTGTTTTCATTTTTATTATGTACTCTGTGTTATTTTATTGAAATTTTATGTTGTGAACTGCCCTGAGTTATAGGTTATAGGGTGGTATACTACTACTACTACTACTAGTAGTAGTAGTAGTACTAATGGTTTATCACAGTCACAGTTCACAGAGGAACTGTGAACTTTGAAGTGCTGAGGGATGTGTGTAGATGAACTCCTTTTACTCTTGTCCCAGTCACAGACTCATCCTGGAGATTGCTGGAGTAACAAGCTGAATGAGGGTTGGGGGAAGGGATCCCTCTTGGCCCATTCCCATTAATACAGAGAATAGAGCTATAACTCACAAAAACTTTTATAAATTGCTTAGAGGCTATTGCAATTAAGCAGTATATAAATTACTGTGATAAAGCAGTGAGTTTTGAAAGCAAGACATAGGATAGTGCATTGTATAGTTCCAGTTGCTAGTTTCCACTTGTGTGCTATAATTTCAGAGGACAAGAGGAATTGGGTCTCATTGAAGCCATATAGCTATCCTTTGATCTGTGAATTCCCTGACAAGGTTATATAAACAGCTGTCAATGTGTTAAATCAGAATTCTGTGCTGCATGAGAAGAACAGAAAGAGGCAGTGGGGTAGTTTTCTTTTCTCCTGACTATCATTGGGAACTGGAATGAGATCTTGGGGAAGTTGGTATCTCAACTACATCTTGCTCTGCTTCTGACATCTCTGTAATTCTGTCTACTTTTGGCCATCAATTCTCTTGAGTTGTTCCACCACCAGCACCACTACTAATATCACTGGCATTGCCACTAGAAACTAGAAAGCTAGTCCTGTTTTCTGACATTTGGCAGTATTGTCCACTGTCTTCCTTGGCTCCACAGAGGTTTTTAGGCAATGTGTGATAGTTAGAAAGGACGACTTGTGCCTCAGCAGACCCTTTCAGAATCTTAACAGCTATACTATGCAAATGCACTTGGCATGCTAAGTATTTCCTTGTCTTTTTCTGCCCACAGGATGATTATCTTAAAGCTGAAATATGGTACAGCCGCCAGTGTCTAGCTAATAAAGAATTATATGAAAGTAAGGAAACCAGGGACTCAGCCAGATTGGTAAAGAAAAAGTGATTTATATGTGTTGAATGTGTAACTTGAATCCATGGGTTCTCCAACGTTATGGAGAAATATAGCTGTGTCATCTAATGTCCTAATGTCTGCTTCTAATGTCTTCATGTAGCTGTTGAATAGCATGGAGGACAAAATAGCACCCTGCAAAACTCCATAGTGTAAGTGGAGGCAAAGAGCACTCCCGCAATGCTTTCCTGCAATAAACCAGCTCAAGGCAGAGAGCATGCCTCTCTGCTCATATACACTTATATATTTTAAGGCATGTAACAAAAATAATTTCAAAATTTCACCCTGAGTTCTTTTTAACTGTTCACATGAAACTGGGTTGATGTCTTTTGTAAACTATATTTTAGAAGTGCAAGCACTGAGTTGTAGCTAATATATTTCTGCTTTTCTTGCAGCGGACTATGTTAGTCTGTCATTCAACAAAGATAAGTCATTGAGCCAGGTAAGGCAAATGACGATAAAACCTTATGAAAATTTGCCGATGTATAGTTGAGGTTTGGTGCATTCTGTTCAGTACATAATTTGACTTCCTGGCCACCTTGGCAAATTAATGTTCAGAAATCAAAAGGACAGTTGAGGCAATTTATTACTGGAAGCTTTTGTGGTTGTTATCAGAGCTTTTAGGGAACTGGCTGCCATATGCTATTAGGATACGTTCAAAGTTCTTGTATTTATTTACAAAGCCCTACCTTGTAGCATAAGGAGCATCTCAACCTTTAGATCACTACCTGATCACTGAGGTCTTTGGAGGAGTCACTGTTTGGGGTCCCCACACACCCTTGTATTCACCAGGGCCTTTGGTTCAGTATTGTGGGTCCAAAAAAGCAGGTTCAGAGCCCCAATCCAAAACAGGCTTCTGATCCAGGCTTCTCAGTCCCACAACAGTTTCTGGCAGAAAATTCTATCAACCTCACTTCAGTTTGCCTCTGCGGATGCTATGCAGGAAAATTGAAGTCACAGGTGAGTGATTTTCAGCAGAAGAAAACTGGTGCCAGGCAAGATGAAGATGAAGGCATTTTGTAACAGTTTTTTCTTCAAAATAAAAATGGCCAGTTTAAACATATACACAGGCCCTGCTTTCTGCCTGCTAGCCATGCAAAAATTCACAAAATGTCCAAATTAAAGAATTATTCTATGCTTCACTATACACTCCACAGATTCAGATATCTGAACATCCGGAGTTTACCCACTTTCTTACTCCTTGCATGTCTTTGCTTTGCTAGTCAGTGGCAGCTATTTGGGCGAAGAAACCATGCAGGGAGGGAGGGAGGGAGCGAGAGAGATCGGACAAATCAGAGCAGGAGAGATTTGAAAATTCATTTCCCCACTTTGTCTTTCTTTTGCTGTTAAGCTGAAGCCATCTCAGGAAGAAACCATGGAGAGATGGGACTGGGGTGGGGGTGGGGGGGAGATCGTACAAAAACCACGGTTAGAAACGTTTGCACAGGAATTGATGGAAATGATGTGAATGCTTGCCCATGGAATGATTTCCAGGGAATGCATAGTGTTTGGTTAGAAGGACCTGTGTGTAATTTTTTTAAAAAGCATCAATAATGTGCAATTTGGCCCTTGCTCTTGTAAAATCTTCTTGCTTTGCTTCTTGTTTGCTTTATACAGGAGAGGCCTGCTGAGTGGAGCACTGACACGGCGAGTTGCTGCCACTTACCAGGAAGGAGGACAGGAGGGGCAAGGTAATGGGGAAACCACTGCTGCATGGGTGCATCATCATCAACATCATCATGTTGGTGCACCGTACAGCTCTGACCTTTCTGTTGCCTTGGCCCTCCACTTCTCCCTCCTGGTCAGTGGCAGTGGCTGTCCTGCTAGGAGGCCAGGTACACACCATTGCCCCTTCCCACTAGCCACTCCTGTATATTCAGAGCTCAGTGGATTCTCTAGCAAAGCTTTTAAGTTCGAACAACGATGTATTTCTAAATCGATTACTTTGCATCCTTTTGTTGTTGTTTTTTTTTTTTAAATCAGGAATCCACTTGTTTCTATAGCAATGATACATTTCAAAAATGGCACAGCTGCTTGCCTCACAAAATGAAAGGTGAAAGGCACTTATCCAGACGGGTGGTTTCTTTTCTCGTTGATTATGAACAGAACACTGGCATCGCTTTGTTATCTCAACAGGTACAATGCACCAAAGGACTCTGTTTTAATTGATACCTCTGAACAGATGGCAATTTGCTGCTCTTGTTTAGAATGGATTCTCATTTTTTGTGATGTGATTTATGGTTTGGTGAAAGCATTTTAATTGAATTAGAAAGGGGGCAATTCGCAATGGATGGGACAACTGATTGAAAGCCCCCTCTCCCCATTTTCCCTGGCTGACCCACCAATATCAAAACTGTGTCCTGCAATAGCCTCAACTCCCTCCCCACCCCACTGCCAAGCTGAGTTCCTTCAGGAGGAGTGGTGGGATATTAATTAACTAATTAACACATAAACTTCCACAGTTCACCTAAGTTCACAGGTAGTCTATGAATGCCTTTCTGAAGACTATAGATCCTTCTGTTCCCTTTCAGTTCCATGATTCCAATATATATGTTGGATATTTTCTTCAAAACAATGGCCACGGTGATGTTTTAAAAAGGAAACATTTTAAAATGAGGCATTGTATCTTCTGGTGCTCTGATCCCTGCAATTGTTGTCTTTTCTAAAACATCTCTTCTTCTTTGTCAGTTACAAATGCCACAGGTGCCTTCTTCCTCCCTTAGAACAATAATCAGGCAATATATTTTTGATTGCCTCTTAGAAGGCAGAGGAAGTGCCCAGATAGATTGCATCTGGGCACCTCTTCTACTGCATTCTTAAGGTCAGTAAAAGTGTGTTGTTGTTGTCTAATTGCTCTTGGCCAGTCTTTCCTTCCGTCTGAGGCACGAGGGCATTCAGCTAACTAAAAGTCCCGAATCTGGGCTCATAGGTGCCAATTCCCTGGGGCCCTGGGTGCCCAAACCCCCACAAAATTCCCCATGAAGGGGCCAGGCACCCACAAATTTTGGTGTCAGGGCCAAGCATGCGGCATGGCACCCACGACCCTGGGCAACCACGGTCGCAGGGCCAAGCTGACACTCCTGCTGGGACTTTGAGGCCTGTCTAACAAGCACTTCCTGAAGAGGCAGAAGCAGCAGTGTGGCAGAGAAGAAAATGAAATCCGTACTTGGATTACTTGATCTTCTTGCAGCAGAAGGGCATTCTGCCCATCTGAGTGCAGTTCTGGCTCCATATGGCAGCTGTTTGAGCCAGCACTTCATGTATGTTCCCTTTTCTCAGCTTCTTTTCTGAACTTAGAGGTCCCAGCATCTCAGAAAGTGCTTATTAGCTGTGCCTAAGGGATGAACCAGGGCCTTCCCTTCAATGAACGCCTTCCTGGCAATGAGAAGGTCTTAACCAAGTATAAATTGGCTCTTGTTAGGGCAACTATACCTGCCCAGTTCTAACACTCTGCTTGGACACTGTGTTTCTGCTGTATCATTTCTTTCTTTGATAATGCATATGTTTAACTGTGTTTCCTTCTTTTTCTTCCTAGAATCGGGCATTGATATCAGTGCATAAGTTAACAGACGGCAGCATGAATAAAAAAAGAAAATTCCCAGCCTTCTGGTTTCCAGATCCGCGATTTATACCAAAAGGATTGTATTTTCACACAAACAGCCATTTTCTGTATGCATATGGCAATCAGGTGTGTAAGAAGGAAGGTGTATTAACAACTGGCACATAGTGTTGAAAAGGTGGCATGCCAACCCCCAACCTCTGTCAATCGGTAGTAGGATTCTGGGGGTTCCAGACCCTCACCCTGCGGCCGTGTTTCCCTTGAGAAGCAAGACACAGAAGTCACACATCCTCCAACATTTCTCTGATGAAAATAGGAACGCCCCATTCCATAACAATAATTCTACTATTTATACCCCACACATCTTACTTGGTTGCCCCAGCACTCTGAGCAGCTTCCAACGTATGTAAAAACATAATAAAACATTAAACATTACAAAACCCCAGTATACCTGAAAGAGCGTCTCCACCCCCATCATTCTGCCTGAACACTGAGGTCCAGCGCAGAGGGCCTTCTGGCAGTTCCCTCACTGTGAGAAGCAAAGCTATAGGGAACCAGGCAGAGGGCCTTCTCGGTAGTAGTACCCGCCCTGTGGAACGCCCTCCCATCAAATGTCAAAGAGATAAACCTGACATTTAGAAGACATCTGAAGGCAACCCTGTTCAGGGAAGTTTTTAATGTGTGACATTTTAATGTATTTTTAATCTTTGTTGGAAGCTGCCCAGAGTGGCTGTGGAAACCCAGCCAGATGGGTGGGGTACAAATAATAAATTAATATTATTATTAGGTCACTTCAGTGCTGCTAACACAGTGGTTTGACTTCACCCCCAGAGGCGCAATCCATTGTCTCTCAAGACAGATGGATGCCAACAAAGATCTCTTAAACAATATTCATTATTGTCTCTCTCCCTCCCTTTTAGGTGTGGATTTCTTATGATGGAGGCGCCACTTTTATACCATTTTTCACCTTAAATTCTGAGACGATTATAGAGGTAGATTCATGTGTTTACACCCAAGCGATTATATTTGTGACTGACTCGGCAAACCTTTACTACACTAAGGCAGGTAGGAAAACATTAAAAAGTGGAGTCTCCTGCAGTCTTTGAAGACTCAAATATGAGATTATGAGAAACCAGATTCCCCAACCTATGTGTTCTCATAGCTAGATAGGGAGAAACAAATGGAAGCACCTGATGCACCTAAGGAATTCACTCTCTGCTGGGCAGAACCAGGGAGCCCTAAGGGTGCCCAAACCAAGAACCATGTAGACTAGAGACATAGATGCACTGCATCTTCTATGACTTCTACCTTAAGTGAGATTGCAGGAACTTGGGTGACCAACAGCAAAGGCTATTATCTTGTCTCCTGATGCCCCTATTTTCACATTATTCTCCAGGGAATAAATGCCCTATGCATTCTGCTTGCTGATATATCATAGTGTAGTATGGTTGGCTGGGATCCAAAGAGCTGTTGCAATCTTCTAGTGGATCTTGGGGACTCTTAATCCACTCATTTGTTGCTGCAGCACCCTGAATCTACCTTCCAAAACCCTCCACTGCAGATCAATCCATTCAGACCATGAGGCACAAGGAGCTTCTTCCGAAAAGGAACAACACCTCCTTGCATGCTTCAAAGTATTTGACCACATATGACCTTGTTAGATCCTGGCCCTTAGGAACTATTGTCTGAAGTTGCATAATTTAGATATACTTTATCCTCATCAAAATTTAGATAATTTAGATATACTTTATCCTCATCACAGAAACCTATTATATTCCCCCTTTTCTGTAGGTTCACCGAGATATGCCAAGCTTATCCCTCCAGCAAAGGGTATCTTCAACATGTACTTTGACCACCTGGGAATATTATATCATATTTCTCTGAATGATTCAATTGCCACATTTGTAAAAGAGACGAGTGTAGATGTGGACACTTTATTGAAGGTTAAGGATGCTTTTGATGTGTGAATGAAAAATGTCTATGAGATTGTAATAATTGCTGTTCTTGTTAAGGACAAACCTTCACTCTTCCATCATGTCAAAGTAGGAAGCTAGTGCTAGAAATGACAGTGGAGTCATTAATCCAGCATTTTTTCACCACTATCTAGATATCCTTATAATAGATATAATTCTTTTTTTAAAAAAAAGTTAAAAGTTGATTTCAGAAAAGCCACCATTATAATAGGTTAAATCAATAAAGATAATTCTTTTGTTCCTGAAAAAAAATAGCTGCTCACTGCTTTCTGGGGGGGAGTGGGGGCGACGTTTGCGGTCCCTCAAGCTCTGGCCTCACGTGCTCCAGTCATTGCAGGAAATCTCTCCCCAGTCCCAGGAACCCTGGTCGATTCCCTGCCAAGAAGGACCATTAAAGCTGGCAGTCTGGGCATTGGCTATTGCTCCTGCCTGGCCTGGCAGCAACACCTTGAAAGGCGGTGGGCCTCAGCGGCGCAGTCGAGTCCCAATAACTCAGTCCGAACCATATTTCCTGTATATGTGCCCTATAAGCCGATGGATTGCATTAATGAAACTTCCAGAAAACCATTGAGTTTGCCCCACCCCCTTAGCACAGGCAAAGTCACATAATGCTTCAACTAAGTTGCCACCTTCAACTCCTTCACTTCTTTCAAGTGGGACTTGAAAGTGCTTAGCTTTAACTGACTCCTACCATTATCTTCAGTACCCTGAGCAAATACTGAACGTAGTCTTGTACTCATTAGAAATTTAAGAGAAACTAGGGAGAAATTTTGTAATATCAGTATTACTTTGTGATTTCTGCAGCTATGTCTGTGCTGCTTAATTACCAGTTTCTAAGCAATTTCTTTTCTGATTGCTATTATAAATTAAATTATCCCTTAGTGTGGTGTGGAGCCAGCGTGATGTAGTGGTTAAGAGCGGTAGACTTGTAATCTGGTGAACCGGCTTCGCGTCTCCGCTCCTCCACATGCAGCTGCTGGGTGACCTTGGGCCAGTCACACTTCTCTGAAGTCTCTCAGCCCCACTCACCTCACAGAGTGTTTGTTGTGGGGGAGGAAGGGAAAGGAGAATGTTAGCCGCTTTGAGAATCCTTTGGGTAGTGATAAAGCGGGATATCAAATCCAAACTCTTCTTCTTCTTATTATTTTTTTAATTTTCCTAAGCTAGTTTAGCAATTTTCCTAAGCTAGTTTAGCAAGTTTTTTATCTATAAACGCATGAAAAAAATAATATAATTAATTTTCTCACTTTGTTCCAGGATATTGACTTAGGTTTTGAATTTCCTTTGGCTGTACAGTATATCACTGAAGAGCAAATGTTACTTTTAAACCACGAGCCACGGATGATAACAAAACATGAGAGATTCAGTAGTCTGCAAAGTGGCAAAAGATTAGATTATGGGTAAGTATCAATAACAGCATATGTTTTGCTAACAAGCAATGTCTTGGTCTGTTCGGTTTTTCTTTTTAATATACCCTGCTATTTTACAGAATATAGCAAAATAGCATCTCTCTAATTTGGTTAAATTGTTCAGAGGGTTGCCACTTTCTTGTTCTACCTGCTCTTAGAACCACTTTGTACTAACATTTGTGATGTATACCGTGTAATACAAGTTTCAAACAAAACTTGTAGGCTTCAAAAATATATCAGTAGGTGATGTGTGTGTTGTAGGAAATTGGAAACGGTTTCTGCAGTGTGTAATCTGTGGGGGATGGGGACCCACCACCACATTTGGGAGCAAAGACTGCTGGAATCTGCTGTCTTCCAGGGATGTGATATTGCTAGAGCCAGAAGGAACAGGTTCAGATAATATGGCCCATGAAATATTGTACCTACTGGGTGTACCTAACTTGGAGATTAAGGGGTATTTTCGTGTGATTTGATTTAATATTTGTATTCTGCTTTCCCCACAACAACTGTTGAGCTCAAAGTGGCTCACAGTAACAATAATACCATTACAAGTTAACAGACATTGTGATCATGGTAGTAAATTCAAAGCACAGGAGAATATAAAGCTAAAGACAAATTCATCAAAAAATTACTACAATTCAATACAAAATCAAAGTGATTCAAAAGATCAGAAATAGCTGCTGAACAGCAGCCCTGTGCCAGCTGACATGCTTGAAACCACAATTTTCTCTTAGTACTATTTTCCAGCAAGGGAATCTTAGGAACTAGTCGAAATTCGTTAAAATTCATTAGATGTGTGATCTGACATCATCAAGGTGGTATTAAATGTATGCTTCTTTTTAATTTAGGCCAGGAGGATCGTGTATAATCAGAGAGGTTTTTAGGACGCCAGCTCCTCCGGGCTTTATATCATCTGTACTGGTAGATGTTCTAGATCGGTTTCCTGTTGAATCTAAAACTGCTAGCCCTTGTACAGCAAATACTTTAAGAGTTTTGCCCCCTACAGGGAGCAGTATATCATACAGGCTTCAGCTGACTTCTCCAGGTTTGTGCATCACCTGATAATGAAAAGTTTTTGGAAGGAGGGTCTTTGGCTTATGCTAATCACACTTCAGGGGGGAAATATATAGGAAAAGAATTGTAGGGAATACTATTCATCTAATGAATATGCCCAGCATTTCCTAATTTCCTATGTAGCCTCTTTTATATGTTCCTCGCCATCCAGTCATTTTTATTTCTACTAGATCCCCTTCCTAAATCAACAGCCAGCCAATCAGTCTCCAACTATGTGTAAATTCATACTTTTCTTATGGAGACAAAATGGCGAAAATGAAGAAAGGGTACGGAAGGTGTATCCCAGAAAAGTAAGGTAAGGGGTTAATCTGGTAGCCCCATAAAAAGAAGAGAAAGAGCCCCCAATTTCCAGCCTGTGAATGAAGCATGGGATTTCAGGCTTCACTTGACACTGCCTTCATTTCTGAGGTTTCTGGCAAAATAGAAAGTTTCATGAGCTGTTGGAGTTACAGGGCTGCTGTTGACTAGGAGAGTCACACAGGTAGTGGCAGTCTGTCAAAAATTAGGAATCTAAACTTTATATCAAAGAAGCCATAGCTTCAGATCAGTTTATCTTTTGTGTAAATTAAGCATATTCCTAGCAGTAGCAGCAACAACAACAACAAAGGGAAATGCAGCTTCTGCACATTGAATGATGTTTTCATTATTTTCTTGTTTTCCAGGTGTGAATATATTTAAACCAACCGATCTTGAGAAAACAGTGGTGATTCCAGGCAGTAGCAGTTTCTTCATTATTCAAGTTGTGGATGACCAAAATGCTTTAGGAGATGCTACTATGCCTAATAGGGTGCCTTTAAATACAGACATTCCACCTGGGAGGTGGTTCTTGTATGACTTTGGCACTGCAAATGCCAGAAAATGGAAAATTGTTGTTGACATATGTAGATATACAATACAACAATTTGATGACCTACCACGCCATGCCATTAAATACTTGGATATTGGGTCAAAGCTGGAATTTAAATTCAGAGTGACTCCAGTTAATGTAGGTAAGACTGCATATATTTCTTGTCTCTCCACTCTTCAGTATTCTCTATAAAATGTCTGAAAGTTTTTGAAATCATATGAAAGCAAACTCTTTATAAATTATAATCCTCTAATAATTTAGCTGACATTCAGCAAAATGTATTTTACATATATTTTTATATGCATGATTGCTTTTAAAAATGTAATAATAAAAATAATTATAACCAAGATTTATCAAATAAACTATCAAAGCTTATCCGACTTCCATAATTTTTGCAGATGTGTGTGAGAGAGAAGGATTTGGTCATTTGTATCCAAAACTATATTCCATTAAAAATCCTTCAAAAATAAATTAAAAGGCAGATATATTCACAAATATCTAAAAAAAGCACCAAACAGAATTCTGTGTGCAATAATAAATCTTAATATTTCCGTCTTTCAAAGCATAGCAAGTCCTAGATTTGCACTCGATAACATTTTATATTTCTTTGTATACCCTATTGTTGTTGTTGTTTAGTTGTTTAGTTGTGTCTGACTCTTCGTGACCCCATGGACCAGAGCACGCCAGGCACTCCTGTCTTCTGTATACCCAATGAGAAGTCCAATTTGTTATATGTATTAATTCAGCCATTGAAATAGCAAATGCCTTCAATTTGCTTATTCGATCCTTAATTGATGGTATATTGGAAAATATGTTATTTTTTGCAAGGAATTCATCTTGATTGCTAATAGTGCTGTTGCTAGAACAAAAATGACAACAGGATGAGCCCTGCCAAGCACCTTTAGTTAAATTAAATGCCGATGAAGTACAGTGGTGCATCGCAAGACGAAATTAATCCGTTCCGCGAGTGTCTTCGTCTAGCGGTTTTTTCGTCTTGCGAAGCAACCCTATTAGCGGATTAGCGCTATTAGCGGTTTAGCGGCTATTAGCGGCTTAGCGGCTTAGCTGCTAAAAGGCTATTAGCGGCTTAGCGGCTTAGAAAAAGGGGGGGGGAGCGGAAAAAAATCTCAAGACTCGCAAGACATTTTCGTCTTGTGAAGCAAGCCCATAGGGAAATTCGTCCTGCGAAGCAACTCAAAAACGGAAAACCCTTTCGTCTAGCGGGTTTTCCGTCTTGCGAGGCATTCGTCTTGCGGGGCACCACTGTAATCCCATTTGTATAAACTCTTCAGAACAGATCTGTTTATTCATTATGTTTGTCAGATGCTTTCTACAAAACCTCGGAACTCGAACGTAATCTGTTCTGGAAGACCATTCAACTTCCGAAACTTTCAAATTCCAAAGTACAGCTTCCGATTGGTTGCAAGAGCTTCTTGCACTCAAGTGGAAGCCGGACAGATGTTCGAGTTCCGAGGAATATTCGAAAACCGGAACACTTCCTTCTGGGTTTTGGCGTTCAGGAACTGAAACGTTCGGCAACGTTCAAGTTCCAACGTTTGACTGTACCATGATGAATGGTACTGAAAAGCCACTGAGAACTCCAAGAGAACCGAGAAGGTCACACCTCCCCTCCATATCTGTCTTGGTAAAGGTCACTCCACATGGCATCCAAGGTAGTTTCTGTGCCAGAACCAGGCATGAGACCCAACTGGAATGGGCCCAGAAAATCAGGGCTTGGAGGTAGCCACCTACCAACCACTTCAACACCTTCCCCTTCATTTTGAAGAAAGGTTTGTTTCAAAATGTATATGTCATATAGATTTGGAAACTAGCGGGATATCCTATTGACTCCCATCCTGCCTACAGATCTTTATACAACTATTTATAAGTTATAATCCTCACTCTAATAATTTAACTGATATTCAACAAAATGTATTTTACATATATTTTTATCCTATTGACTCCCATCCTGCCTGTAGATCTTTCATATGGATTTCTCATTTTGATGTGCATATGCACACAGATGTATATGAAGTAAGGGTACACTGGAATCAGCCAAAATCCTCAAGTATTTTTCAACCCAACTGCAGTCTCAGAGTGGAGCTAAGTTTTGCCTTTTGTATGAGGTTGTTCTACAGGAAAGAAATATTGGAAATAAACATTATTCTCATTGTTGTTTCCTTCCACAGCGTATAATGTGTTCCATAATAGGCTAATGTACATTGCAATTGGAAGGCCTTCTCTACTGGATGTGAGCACAAAAATTTATTTTGACGACAACAATAGCAATTTAATCGATATCACTGTTCATAGTAGATTTTTTGAAAAGGTAACATGCTACCAGCTCTTTTCAGAGTACCTTGATAAAGTACACGCAGCTTTAATGTGCATTCAGACTCCAAAAAACTATGTTAGCAATCTTCTCCCATGTTTTTGTACAAAACAAACTTATGTTGGTTTTAGACCAGTTTACGCTATGGCTTTCCTCACAGAACCCTAGAAATTGTAGAGTAATGAGACTTGGTTGCTAGATGTGTTGGGCATTCATTGCAGATGTTAGTAGGTGTGGCGGTGAGCTGGCAGGGAGGGGCCAGCATGTGTGCTGGGGAAAGGCATTGGGTTGGATACTTAGTGTAACCTGGGGCTGAGAGGGAGCCTCTCCTGTTGGACATGTAAAAATCTCAGGGTACCCTGGTAAAGGCTTCTGGGCTGCAATCCGAAGGTCCAGATGACGTGAGGTGGGGGTGATGGGCCAAGGGCTTCCGTTCAGTGGCCAGGGGCTGTCAGCTTAATTTACCAGCATCTTGAGGGGACCCTTAACCTAGGACTGACCCTTGTGAATAATCATCCAGCAGTCAGGTAGGATGATTTGGGATACACACCCAATGCCTATGCCAAAACCTCATGGCCAATTTATTTCCAAGTTCTTCTCATGTCATTTTTGTTGCTTACTTCCCAGTTCCCAAGGCACACTGCGCACGGGCCTGCAATCCCCCTCCCACAAGCACAAGCACATTTTAAAAGCTATAAAATGTTAATCAGCCAAACGCCTGAGAAACATTTTCACCTGGCAACTAAAGATATGCAATGAAGGCGCCAGGGAAGCCTCCCTAGGGGGAGCGTTCCACAAATGGGGAGCTACCACAGAAAAGGCCCGCTTTTGTGATGGCACCCTCCAGACGTCTTGTAGTGAAGGCACATGCAGAAGGGCCTAAGGTTAAAACTGTAGGGTCCTGGTTGGTTTTTATAGGGCGAGGCGGTCCTTGAGGTATTATAGTCCTGAGCCGTTTAAGGCTTCATAGGTCAAAGCAGCACTTGGAATTGGGCCCGGAAACTAATTGGCAACACCTAGAACAGGCTGGATCCTGGACATAAAAACTAGCCACTCATAGTGTTACACTCCTTTTGTGATTCAGCTTCAGTTTATCTTCTCATCTTCAAGCATTAGTTTAGCACAGACACAGCTAGACTTACTGAAAGCAATGGGATGCAAGTTATTCATGACTACAGTGCAATTGTATCTTACACAGGCGTTCAGTTCAAAACATTCTACATATCTGCAAAAATGTGTATACTCAAATCATTGGAACTGAACCCCTTCATGAGCATCCTGGGACTCCAGAAGCCCTGAAGTGCTCTTGCGAGATCTCACAGGTCCATCCAAGTTCTCTCAAAATCACCCAGGAGCATCCAAGGCCCGTCACACACAGAGGCAAAGCAAGGCAGAGAAAGCTTAAAAGCTACTGTAGTTCTATTGTTATGAATGGGGCCCAGTCCCAGCTAACTTTACCTGATGTGTGACCCTTGTCTTGGTATGAATATATTGTTTGTCATAGGCTTGTTTTGGAGTATTAGATTAATAATATTTAAAATGTTCCTGTGGGAGAGGCATTTGTCATACGAGAATTCTTAAAACTATTCCAATGGACGACAGAATTTGGAATTCTTCTAGTACGTACAATGCACACATGCTGTGCTGGTGAAATGAATGCAAATGCCTTACATCAACAGCCATGCTTGCATGGATAAGGCTCTATGGCAAGGGTCAGCAAACTTTCCTACCAGTGGGCCGTCTCACTGTCCCTTAAATCTTCTGGAGGGTTGGACCACACACACATGTGCACACGCACGCACACACACTGGTGGAGGTGGGCTTCTCTCTTTCCCCCAGGCCCTCCCCTCCTCCTGCTTTCCTACCTCCTCCGGCGGTGGTTGAGAGCCGGTAGCGGTGGTGGCACCTCTCGTTTCTGGAAGAGCTTCCCAGGTCTGGGCCAGTAGGCATGCCAAGCTTCGGCCGAAGCCCCACAACATGCCCACAAGCCTCTCTGTCCATGGCCTCGCTGGCCAATCTGAAGCCTCGCCGCCTGTGTGCTGAGGAAACCAGGGACGGCTCTCAATTGCCCAGTGTCGCTGCCCGCCCAAAGGCGTCCGTAGCTTCAAATTGGCTGCGGGAGCTTCCTGAAGCCAATCCAAAGCCACCTGCATGCCAATCGCGGAAGTCAATCGCCGCGCTGTGCTAGTTTAGCATGGGGACTGACCGGGCAGGGTCCTCAGGCTGGATTAAAGAGCCCCTCTGGCCTTATCCGGCCCACAGGCCTTAGTTTGCTGACCCCTGCTCTATGGAGTCAGCTACATTAGTCGAAAAACAGCGCTTTAAATGCATTATAAACATGCAACACCAAATAGTGCTGGAGAAAAAACAAACAAACAAAATTCTTTCCGATTTTCCATAGTGTTTGTTTTCTTTTGTTATAATGATTTAATTTCTGACTTATTTATGGTGGGTTTCCCCCCTGTGTGTAGATTCATCCTATGATGAGAAGCTAATTATATTCATCTATGTTGGAGACCAAGTAATGTTATGCCTTTTCATAAACTTCCCTAGGGTAAAACCACCGTAGCTGTGATTATCGCATTGGGATCTCTCCGATGTGAAGTGATAACTCTTGTCTTAACGCTGAAGAATTCCTGCTCCTATCTTAAATCAATGCACTATGTTCTATCTGCTAAAACCTCTCCTTCGGACTGGCTAGTTGAGGATGTCAGCGCTGAACCAAATGGCTCAGCGATTGCCAGACTTTTAAAGCAGCTACCGGTAAGGATCCTAAATCCTATATGTTAGTTTCTTAAATGTTCTGAACAGGGGAGGGGCACAGATGTATCCATTGTTCTATGAAGCCCCAGGATGCATTGTTCCAAAGCCCCACCCAGGCACAAGACTCCTGAGTTGGATGGATTTGTGTGGCCTATGAAACAGAGAGCTGAGGACATCACTACACTCTCTGGGATCTGTGTCAGTGAAGCAGACAGGTAAAAGCTAACTTTTCTTCTGATAGAAGGCAGGGTCAACATTTCCAACTGTCTTTTTTTAAAAATCCATTTTTTAAATGTTTCATTAATAACAATCCTATGGAGGCCACATTAATTCAATGCCAAATCATGCCAAATCACAATACAATCAAAAGAGCCAACTAAACAGTTCCGAATTAAACATCCCGTGTTCTGGATATCAGGAGTTGATGTTATTCCTTGATCCTGCGCCAATTCTCTTAATTAGTCCAAGTTCCACAATTCCGATCTTAATCCTTTGTTCTAGCAGCCACTAATGTGATGACTTTCAATCGTGTTTAATAAATCCAAATCCATTAACTTGCAGAGGGAATTTATATTCTGTAGCTGTGTGAAGTATCTGTTTACCTTCTTCTTTTCCTTAATGTTGTAATCAGTCAATTTTCTTCAACATTGCCCCTCCATTGAAAACTCATGCGTAGGTAAGCTCCATTTTGCCTCTCTGAAACCAAAAGCAATCCAGGGTCCAGCCGCGACTTCTGATTAACTTCCAGTGTTTATCTCCTTGTTTTTTCTAACAAGTTGGCGTCTCACCAAAACCGTAATAAATCAGAATCAGAGCTCTCTTTGGTTGGCAATGTTACCAATCATCACAGTATTCCACACAGTCTATTCTTTCAAGCACTCCGTAAAAAAAATTATAAGTTCTTCTTGAATCCCTCTTGCATTCCCTATATAGTTGTAATCCATTAGTAATTTCATTCCATAAATAATCGATTCTTTTTCAGTGAAGGCTTGCCGATCCATAGCACAGCAAAAATAATGTAAAAAAAAGAGCAAAGGCTCCCCTTCAATCACGTAGCATTCCAGTTATGATAATGAGAGTTCTCCTCATATCAAAACCTTGGCACTCAGTGGCTGATTCATTTCGCAGGTTACCATTCTCTTTCTTCCAGAACACGTCTGTTTCTTAAGTCCAAATTCAGATACATCTTGAAAGAAACAGAGATACCTCCGCTCATGGCGACTGCATCGGGGAGTTTCCAATACGTGCAGTGCTATGCCCTCTGCGTCCCTTCATTACGTCTGGGCTTCAGAGCTCTTCTCAGGATATTTGAATCAGAAGCCCTTTTATTTCCTTTTCCCCCTTTCTGTTCTTTTCCCACTCTTTTATTATTTTCATCTTCATGTTTTTTTCCTGCCTTCCTTTGGTCCTTCTTTTGGTGGTGTTGTTTTTATGTCCTCTGCTCTGAGTCAATGCGGGCGGGTGTGCACATGAAGGTGAGGGCTGGCTGGTGAAGGACCCTGTGTGAGAGGCAGAGAAGGGAAGGTCTCCCAGGGTGGGAGGCTGGAAGAAGGGAAGCTCCCAGGTGAGATCTGGGAAGAACCACCCCCTTATGTGTGAGACACGGCTTGAGATCTACCTTTGAGAGAAGATTGCATCTCTCTCTCTTTCTCTTTTTGTTTTCATTTAGATTAGTTTGCTTTTTAAATTTGTTCTTTCATCTGTATTAATAAAGCCTTAATAAAATTTTATTATTTTAAAAAAAGAAATCTGTGCTGCTGGTAATAAGTGTATGAATACAGGGTTGGGGAGATGATACAAACCGGTCTTATTTTTCATCATATAATTTCCCCCTTTTTTCATTTACAAAGATTATCATACAAATAAATTTATATAACCAATTAGAAAATATCAAATCATTGACCCTTTCTGTGCTTACTTATGTTTTATCTTTTATCACTGCATATCCAATTCATATCTATTTACTATTTATCCTTTGTATTTTATTTAAATGATTTTCACTGCACATTTTTATGTCAGTCCCACTAACGATTTAATTTGTTTGCAAAAATTCTTCAAATAATCAATAAATTTTCCCCATTAAAATGTGTTGTTTTTCATACAGGTGAACTACAGGCCACCATCTGTTTTGGGAATTGCTGTTCCACTCACAGAAAACTTCTATAATGCTGACCCCAGCAAACCTAAACTGAGGGATTATTTTACAAATTCAAAAGTAAGTCTTCATAGCTATGCCTGTAAGAATTTGAGAATGCGCATTTTTCAAAATTGCTATCCATTTTGCACTCCGTGCTGTTGCATGTTCTTTACATACACATACACACATTAAGAAAAGAGATTTCTAATAAAGAGGAGAATCTTGAAATTCAACTTCCAGATGAGCATTTCTATAGAATTTGCCCCAGAACTTAGGCATCCTGCTTGCACATACTATAGACTCAACATCTGTCTTCTTCCCACTATAAATAGCTGGTTTTCACATACTATTCTGAGAAAAATAACCTGAAAACTTGGGCTCAAATCCTTATGTTTTAACTTTATTGCCGCCTCATATCACTTGCCAAACCTTTGCAGTAATAGGACAGATCAGGATCAGAACATATGTTGACACAATTGCCCAACTACTTTCCACACACTCAAGGTAAATATACTTTAGGAGCTATGGAAACAATTTGAAGCACCCAGAGCAGCCAATATGAGCATTTTCTTTTTTTGCCCTAGGTGAACTCTACTGCCTCACCCCATTTTACAATCCTCCATATTTTCCTGTTCTATCAACAAGAGGCAGTAGAGGATTGTATGCATAGCTCCTTTTGCACTATTCCATATATTCAAGATAATGATATTTTACATATGATTAAAGACTCTCAAAGTCCACAGTATCAAGGCTGCTTAAGAATATGGAGAGTATAGAGAAGAAAAAGGGAAAGGCTGAAAAGCAGGCAGAGAACTTCATCTGCAAAATCATTTGCTGTCATCCAAGAACCCCAATGTCCATTCAGCTCATTTGTCTCTTGCTCAAGAGAATGCTTCTCTTCAACCCAACTGCATATCACGCTTCCTGTTCACTAAGGAACAAGAGTTATTGCTTAGTTCTCTTTGCCCTGACTCTCCCTTTCTTTCTAACAACCTTTTCCACCAAATTTGAACACGCAGGGCTCTCCAGTCCACTGATAGTTGAAAAACTATAGACTGATTCAGAGGTCAAATGATTTCCATTGCATATGTTGGTCTACTTTGTAAGCACAGTCGAGAATTGCCTTGATTATACCTTCTTTGGGACACGGGTGGCACTGTGGTCTAAACCACAGAGCCCAGGGCTTGCCGGTCAGAAGGTCGGCGGTTCAAATCCCCACAACAGGGTGAGCTCCCATTGTTCGGTCCCAGCTCCTGCCCACCTAGCAGTTCGAAAGCACATCAAGTGCAAGCAGCGGGAAGGTAAACAGCGTTTCTGTGTGCTGCTCTGGTTCACCAGAAGTGGCTTTGTCATGCTGGCCACATGATCCGGAAGCTGTCTGCGGACAAACCCCGGCTCCCTCGGCCAGTTAAGCGAGATGAGCGCAACAACTCCAGAGTCGTTCGCGACTGGACCTAACAGTCAGGGGTCCCTTTACTTTTTCCACAGAATTCTGGACAGTACAAGCAATGTGCTGGCAAGTCAAATCGCTCTGAATGTGGATGTACAGAAAATATGAAGCTGTCCTTTTCTGTTGCCTTTTCTGATTGCAAGGAGAAGGTAAGGTCTATGCCTACATGTGCAGCTTTTTGTTTGTTATTCTGAGGAGTTATATAGTATCCTGGAACCATTACATCCAGTATGTAAAGTATATAAAAATAACAGTACATTAAGAAACCTAAGAAGATAAAAATACCCTTAGCTAGTGCTGAGAAGATGACAATGTTGTGGCAGGCAAACATCTCTGGGGAGGAAATTCTGCAAATGGGGCGTCATAACCAATGAATCCTTTCTCTGGCTGCCTTCTGCCATGCCAAGGAGAATTTCTAAAGACTCCCATGGTTCTTCAAGGTACTGGGTTCCCAAGCCTTATAGAGCTTTAAAGGCAAACTTTGAATTCTGCTTAGAAATGAACTGGTAGCTAGTGAAGCCTTTTAAGCCACTCACAGTTACTAACTTAGCAGCTGTATTCTGCAGTAACTGCAATTTCTGAGCAGTCTCCAAAGGTATCCCCAGATGCAGCCCAATACAGTAGTCAATCCTTGTTTCCAGATAACTGTGACCAGGCTATTGCTTTCAAGAAGAAGCTGCAGCTGGCACACCAGCCTAAATTAATGTGAAAGACATTCCTTCCCACAAAGGCTTATCTGGTTCTCCATTGACAAAGCTATATTCAGGAGTGTGCTCAATCTAAGAATTTGATCCTTTAGAGCAATGTTTCCCAACCTTTTCCCAACCGTGGCCCTCTTCTGACCTTGTGTTCTTCCTTTAGCCCACCCCACATGGACGTAGCCAAGAGGGGGGCAAGGGGGCAGCTGTCTTCCCATAAGTAAAAATCAATTAAAATCCATGCAGAGCCAGTCCGACGCTGCCGATGGGCCCTGCTCTCATCGGCAACATACGATGGCTCTGATCCGCTAGGTGCTGAGGTAGATTGCACCCTGCACCTTGCAGAGTCAGGCCCAGGCTGCCACCGGACCCAGCACTGGCAGCAGCAACAAGCAACTCTGGCTCGCCCAGCCCTACCCATTGCCACCCCACCACCGCACTTAGCTGACCTGGGAGTTCTGGACTGCGGGCTCTACTGGTCAAAACGGGAGCCTCAGCGATTGCCCTCTCTTTCTGTTTTTTTTTTTTAATAAGATATTTATTAAGATTTTCAGAATATTACAAGACAAAAAAAGGAGAAAAAAGAAAAAAGAAAAATACGAAATAAAAACAGTTAAAAACAATTCATTCCTTCCGTTACTTAGCCTTCATTTGCTTATTTCCAGGACCTCCTCACACCTCCCTTTTTTGTATTCCAATTCAGTTATTAGTTCAACAAATCCCTCCCCTCTTTATGTATCCTAATCGTTAATCATAAAATATTTGTAATTTTAGATTTTTACCTATTAATAAACCATTTTTTTCATATTCCCTTATAACATTTCGGCTAAAGACCACTTAGTTTCTATCCGACATCATTCTAACATTCATTAATTTTGCAATATTTCTGTAAATAGTCTTTAAACTTTTTCCAATCTTCTTCCATCGACTCTTCTCCCTGGTCTCGGATTCTGCCAGTCATTTCCGCCAATTCCATATAGTCCATCACCTTCATCTGCCATTCTTCCAAGGTGGGTAGATCTTGTGTCTTCCAATACTTTGCAATGAGAATTCTTGCTGCTGTAGTAGCATACATAAAAAAAGTTCTGTCCTTCTTTGGCACCAATTGGCCGACTATGCCCAGGAGAAAGGCCTCTGGTTTCTTCAAGAAGGTATATTTAAATACCTTTTTCAATTCGTTATATATCATCTCCCAGAAAGCCTTGATCCTTGGGCACGTCCACCAAAGGTGAAAGAATGTACCTTCATTTTCTTTACATTTCCAACATTTATTATCGGGCGAATGGTAGATTTTTGCAAGCTTGACTGGTGTCATGTACCACCTGTATATCATTTTCATAATATTCTCTCTTAAGGCATTACATGCCGTAAATTTCATACCTGTGGTCCACAACTGTTCCCAGTCAGCAAACATAATATTATGTCCAAGATCTTGTGCCCATTTAATCATAGCAGATTTCACCGTTTCATCCTGAGTGTTCCATTTCAACAGCAGGTTATACATTTTTGACAAAATCTTAGTTTTGGGTTCTAACAGTTCTGTTTCCAATTTTGATTTTTCCACCTGGAAGCCAATTTTCTTATCCAAATTGTATGCCTCCATTATCTGATAATAATGAAGCCAGACTCGCACTTTGTCTTTTAATTTCTCAAAACTCTGCAATTTCAATTTGTCTCCTTCTTGTTCCAAAATTTCCCAATATTTCGGCCATTTGGCCTCCATATTGAGCCTTTTCTGAGCCTTTGCTTCCATCGGTGACAACCACCTTGGGGTTTTGTTTTCAAGTAAGTCCTTATATCTTATCCATACATTTAACAATGCTTTCCTGACAATATGGTTTTTAAATGCTTTATGTGCTTTAACCTTGTCATACCACAAATATGCATGCCACCCAAAAACATTATTAAAACCTTCTAAATCCAAAATGTCTGTGTTCTCAAGAAGCAGCCATTCTTTCAACCAGCAGAATGCTGCTGATTCATAATAAAGTTTAAGGTCTGGCAGGGCAAATCCACCTCTATCCTTTGCATCGGTTAATATTTTAAATTTTATTCTGGGCTTCTTGCCCTGCCAGACAAATCTAGAAATGTCTCTCTGCCACTTCTTGAAACAGTCCATTTTGTCCAAGATTTGCAATGATTGAAACAAAAATAACATTCTTGGCAATACATTCATCTTTATGACAGCAATTCCACCTAACAAGGAAAGCTTCAGGTTTGACCATATCTCTAAATCCTTTTTCACTTCTGACCAACATTTCTCATAATTGTCTTTAAATAGGTTTAAATTCTTAGCAGTCATGTTAACCCCCAAGTATTTTACTTTCTTAACCAATGTTAAACCTGTCTCCTTCTGAAACCTCTCTTTCTCAATCGGTGTTAAATTTTTCTCAAGCACCTTAGTTTTTAACTTGTTCAACTTAAATCCTGCCACATGACCAAATTCCTGAATCAATTCTAATACTCTTTTAGTACTAGATTCTGGCTCCTGTAACGTCAATACTAAATCATCTGCAAAAGCTTTCAATTTGTACTGTTTAGCTCCGACCTGTATACCTTTAATCAGATGGTCCCTTCTGATCATATTTAGCAAAACCTCCAGGACCGAAATAAACAGCAATGGGGAAATTGGGCAGCCTTGTCGTGTCCCTTTCTCTATCTTAAATTCCTCTGTCACCACATTGTTAACTATTAGTTTGGCCTTTTGTTCTGAGTAAATTGCACTTATACCATTTTCAAACCCTTGACCAACCCCCATCCCCTGAAGATTTTTCTTCATGAAACTCCAAGAAATATTATCAAAGGCTTTCTCCGCATCTACAAAAATTAAAACAGCTTTAGTATTAATATTCACTTGTAGCATCTCCAAAATGTTGATTATATTCCTCGTATTGTCAGACAAGTGTCTACCCGGGAGAAAGCCAGCTTGGTCTTTATGTATCTCCTCCACTAATACTTTTTTAACCTTTTAGCCAAAATGTCTGCAAAAATTTTATAATCCACATTAAGCAGGGATATGGGGCGGTAGTTCTTAAGTTGTGTCTTTTCAGACTTATTTTTCGGTATTAGAGTAATATAAGCTTCCTTCCACAACTCTGGCGCTTTTTTCCCCTCCAAAATTTCATTGCAAACCTTTAATGGTTGAATTATCCAATCCTTCAAGGACCTATAATATTTTGAGGTTAAGCCATCTGGCCCTGGAGATTTGCCCAACTGCATGTTCTGAATGGCACCTTCCACCTCCTGTTCTGTTATTTTGTAGTTCAACATTAACTTATTTTCTTGGGAGATTTTTTGAAGTCCATTTGTTTTTAAAAATTTGTCTAAATCACACTCTTTCTGTGGCCCTTGTGTATATAGCTGTTTAAAGTACCTCTGGAAGCATTTTCTAATTTCCACTGGATTCTGGATGTTCTTTCCTTCCACTTCCAAGTTGGTAATGGTGTTAAGTTTTTGTCTTTTTTCATTTGCCAAGCTAACAGTTTTCCACATTTATTAGCCGATTCAAATGTCCTTTGTTTCATCTGTTTAATTTTCCATTCTATTTCCTGATTCATCATCTTCATATATTGAACTTGGTATAACTTTATTTCTCTCAGAGTCTCTTGTGATTTTGGTTTCGCTCTGTTTCTTCTCCCCCTCTTTTATTTTTTCCAAAATTTTATCTTTTTTCTCATTTTGAGTTCTCTTCTTTATTGCATTCTGTTGAATTAGAAACCCTCTCATAACTGCTTTGCTTGCGTCCCAGATTACTCTTTTTTCAATGGTGGTGTTCATATTTATCTCAAAGTAATCTCTCAAGGTTTTTTGGGCCTTCTTGGTAATTTCTTGATCTCTAAACAAGGTGTCATTCATCCTCCATCTGAAGGAGCCGGTAGGTGTTAATTTCATCTCCATTTTCACAGCATTATGGTCGGAGCAGGCTTTAGGGCAAATTTCCACTTTTCGAGTCTTAGGTGCCAGTCCTCTAGTAATCCAGATTTGGTCAATTCTTGTCCATGTCATTTTGGCTTCAGAGAAGAAGGTTCCCTCCCTAGCCAAGGGATTCTTTATTCTCCAAATGTCAATCAAATCCATATTGTCAGTCATCTCAAAAAAGTTTTTGGTAGTCTACCATCTTTGGTAACTACCTGTCTCTGCGACTTGTCCATGTTTGTGGATACCACTCCATTCATATCTCCCATCATGATAATGTTGTAATCCATATAGTCTAACAATGTCTCATGCAACTTCTTAAAAAATTCAGATTTCCCCTCATTTGGTGCATATACTCCTACTATCAGAAATTTTTCTCCTTGTGTTTGGATTTCAATTGCCACATATCTTCCTTGGTCATCTTTAAAAATAAATTTCGGTGATAGGCTCTCTTTCGCGTAAATTACAACTCCTCTCTTTTTAACCTTGTCCGGTGAAATAAACTCCTGACCCAATCTTTTATTAATCAATACTTTCCTATGGAGCCTTATCACATGTGTTTCCTGCAGACAAATCAAGTCCAATTGTTCCTTTTTCAATAAATGAAAGACTTTTTCCTTTTCTCCGGGAATTAAATCCATGAATATTCCAACTTAATAGTTGCAGGGACATGGTGTATTTATTTTACTTTTCCTCCAACTGCACCAAGTAATTGTTCTTGTTCTGTTGGTGGTATCACCTTCTCTAACTTGTCCAAACCCAAAGGTAGTGATACTATGTCCTGTATTCCTGGTTTTAAAGCTCTTGGCTCTTTTTCAGTTTCTTTTTGCAAATCTTCGTGATCTTTCAGAAATTGTCTTCCACTGATCTTATTTTGAACTTTTTCCCTTTAAAAGTAAAAGATAGGCCTTGAGGGAATTCCCACCTAAAAATGGTTCTATTTGCTCTTAGCAGGGCCACCAAGTCTCCGTAGTTGGACCTGAGATCCAAAAGATGTTTAGGGATATCCTTAAATATCTCCACTCTTGATTCCTTTATTTCCAAGGTCTTCTGGAAGTGCAGGCTCAATATTCTGTCTCTCTCCTCTCTTGATCGGAGGGTAATCAAACAGTCTCTCACCCTGTTCTTTCTCCCCCCTCTTCCAAGTCTGAAAGCACTTACTATCTTGAAGTCTAACTTGTCTGGGTCTAAGTCCCGAAAGTCTGTAAATTCCTGCGTAAGAAAATCACTCAAGTTGTCTTTCTCAAGTTCAGGTACAGCCCTGATCCTTAGATTTATCTGTTTTTCTTTTAATTCGATCATAGACAGCAATGACTTATGATCCTCCAACTGCCTACATATCGGTGGTATCATTTCCTCTATCTTTTCCTCCACAGCCAATGCTTTTTGCTTAGCTTCTTCAGCTGTTTTTTGATTCAAAGTAGATTCCTGCAGCAGTTTCTCAATAGATTCTGTATTTGAGTTCACCTTCTGCCCCAAGTTATTGATGCTTGTGGTGTTTTGATCAATTTTAGTTGTCGCTTCAGCCACTTGTTTGCTCAACTTTTCCAAAGATTCAAAAATTTTATCTAAAGCTGAAGCTAAGCCCCCTTCAGCTGCCATTCCTTTAGACGCCACCTGGGCTGAATCTTCCCCTGGTGGGGCAGGGAGGCCGGGTGCTGACGGTCTACGCTGCTGCAGTCTAATTTTACCAGATCTTGTTTTTTTTCCTGAGTCAAGTCTGCCATACCACTTTATCTAAGGATCAAGGTCAGTCCCACGATTACTTGTTTGTGGTGGAAAATTCCCCCTTAGTATGGCCAGTTTAGAGTGGAAAATTCCCTGGCCAATTGTGGCAATTTCAAAGTTCCTCTAGGGGGACACAATAGCAGTTCCAATTTGTAACGATAGAATAGCTATTCCAACTTTCAAAAATCCCCCCTTTAGCCAAAAAGAGCAACAGTTTCAAGTCAAGTGGAACTTTTCAGAATCAAAGTATCCATCTTACAGAGCTAGCTGTCAAAAAGTTGCACTATCCTTTGACAGCGCGTTTCCCAATACGGCAGTTTCAGTGTCCCTTGACAGTCCGTTCCCAGGCATTAAGTGATGGTCTTAGTTCCCTTTCTCTCTTCTTTTGCGGGCAAAAGATACTTCCCCTTCTCCCTTCCCTCTCCCGCACCACAGGGAGGGAGTTCTCTTTTTATTGATGTAAGATTTGAGTCTTTTTCAACGCAAATTTCAGGCTCTTTGCTTTGACAGTCTTTGCTTTGATCTATTTACATAAAAGGAAGGCGGACTTCCTGTTTACACCTTCCCGCTTCAGTGCCGAATTAATCCATTTTTTTCCCTTAAGTTCCCCGATCTTCAGACTTAACCTACTCATGGGTAGTTGTTTCTTAGCCGAATTGTCACAGGAAAAAGGTCGGCGCTCTCCGGCAACAGCTGCGCGGCTTCACTCCACGGAAGAAGCAGTTGACTCTCAGCACCGCGCCAGACTCCCTGCTTCGCTCCGGAACTCTTTCCAGGGTTCCCTCGCAGATTGGGGGGTGCTAAGGGTGCCCGCCGAGTCCCACGGTCACAGGCTTCACCCGCCTGTGATTTTCGAGAGGGTCCCAGCCGCTGTAGCGGCAACACCCGATTTCCGCGGAGCTACTCCCTCAAGACTAGAGGGAATCCGCCATTGCCGATGGCGCCGCCTCCGGAAGTCCTCTTTCCTTTGCATCTGTTAGTATTTTAAATTTTATTCTAGGCTTCTTGTCCTCTCTTTCTGGAAACAAACCAGGACTGCTCCAAGAAAGCACACGTGGCAAAAAGGAACGTTAGGCCCTGCTGGGCTGCCTCCTTACCAGCTTGTGAAACGCTACTTTAGAAGGAGTGCAACCTTATGCATAACAGATTTAACAGATGTGCCACCTACCCACAGAATCTCAGACCTTCTGGGACTGATTTTCAGTCCATTGGCTTTCATTCAGCTCATTACCAATTTGTAAGTCAGACTTCCTATTTAGCAGAACTAAACCTGCTTATGTAAATAAAGTGGTATCTCGGGTTACATACGCTTCAGGTTACAGACTCCGCTAACCCAGAAATATTACCTCGGGTTAAGAAATTTGCTTCAGGATGAGAACAGAAATCGTGCAGCGGCGGCACAGCGGCAGCAGGAGGCCCCATTAGCTAAGTGGTACCTCAGGTTAAGAACAGTTTCAGGTTAAGAACAGACCTCCAGAACGAATTAAGTTCTTAACCCGAGGTACCACTATACTTACATTTGTGTCATTCCACATCGATCCATGCAGGCATTATTTTAATGTCAGTGATTTCTATATATCTTACATTGCTAGGCCCTGCGAATGAAATTCCCAGTATCAAGGCTTCCTCTCTATTTCACCATTGAGGATGAGGGTCGCTCTGTAAATCTGACATCTCCTTATTTTATCACAATCATAGAAGTCAACAACAGAACCAACTGGAAAGTTTCAGGTAGGGAGCGGAAGAATCTTGGGATTCATCATTATCTTTCGTATCGGAGAGGTTCTGTTGGAAATACTTGTTGTCAATATATTTTCAGGCTCTCTTTCTTGCCCTATAGTAGATGTGAGGAACCTTTGGTCCCCTGTATGTTGCTGAATTCCCATCATCCCTATCCATTGGCCATGCCTGCTGGGGCTGTTGCAAGTTCTAGTTCAGGGAAGACTTGATGTGGAAAGATGTGAATCTAGTCCAATTCTTTCTGCATGCAAAACCTATTACACCCACAGACCCTTAAGGCCTGAAACAAGCATAACACAACCCATTGGTTTACCATGGGTACACCCCTCCCCTAGCTGTTCTTCCTCCTCTAGTTCTCCTGCTAGCTTTTTCCATGACTAATAGTTATGGTGGCACTCGGCTATAACAAAGAGGAGTTCAGGTTAACCAACATTTCATATTAATGTTTGCCCACACCCCTCCTTTTTCACCCACTCGTGATAATTACCGGTAATCACTGTTAGTGCTTTTTTCTGGGGGGATGCAGGGGTACACATAACCCTAAACATTTTGTGAATCTAAGTTTGGCCTTATTGAAGGGCAGTATTTCAATATGAGTAGAAAAATGAGAGTACCCCTAAACGTTTTTTAGAAAAAAAGCACTGCTGTTTGTTAACCTCTGGAAAGCCGCTGTAGAACACCCTGCGCAGCTCTAATACATCATGCTGTGCCTCTGATACCTTTCTTACTTTTACATTTCATGAGAAATTGATCTGGCTATTCATCTGTATTCAGGCCCTACTGAAATGTAAAAAGAAGGAAGAAACTCAAACCTACCACTCTGCGACTGTTTTAACTGTTTTTCAGGTACCAATCAAACATCAAGTATGTTAAAAATGAAAAAATATTTGGAGCACAGACTCAAAGCTGAACTATATAACCCAGATGGCCTATCTATAACGATAACTGTAAGTGCCAGAGAAAATACATACAGTGCTACCTCGGGTTACAAACACCTTGGGTTACAAACACTTCGGGTTACAAACACTTCCAGTTACAGACTCCACTAACCAGGAAAGAGTGCCTCGGGTTAAGAACTTTACCTCAGGATGAGAACAGAAATTGCGAGCTGGTGGCATGGCGGCAGCGGGAGGCCCCATTAGCTAAAGTGGTACCTCAGGTTGAGAACGGTTTCAGGTTAAGAACAGACCTCTGGAATGAATTAAGTTCGTAACCAGAGGTACCACTGTACCTTAAACCCAAACTCTTCTTACCTTAAACTCTTTGTACAAGGGTGGTCCAACTTTGCAAACAAAGTGGGTCACAAGAGTACTCATACCCTTTCAAAGTGCCCCAGTATTCCTGCATCATCCCAGAATTTGAAGAAACCATCCCAGCTTCTCATTTGATCCTAGAATGTCCCATTTACCTCCTCCAGTGCCACTGCTGACCCTGTGGAGAGGATGCGCCAGTGCTTGCAGTGATGCTGCGCTCTCGCATGAGTCAGCACGGTACCAAAAGACACACGTCCTGATTTTCATCAGAGGAATGTTGGAGGATATGGAGTACTTTGACACGGAACCTGCGGGTCACACAAAGCCTTTTCATGCGGGCAGGTGGGATGGGGTGGTGGAATGAGGCCAGAATTGAGGCCAACCCTTGTGCTGCTTTCCCAAAGCTGGGTAATAAAGGCATCGGGCTTTGGGAAGGAGATGGGAGGGCTCTGGAAGGGTCCTAGAGCCCTCCTACCTGCTTCCCAAAGCTGGGAAATCACTAAGTAGTCTTTGGGAAGGAGACAGGAGGGCTCTAGGATCCTGTCAGCCCTCACAGCTCCTTCTCAGCACTTACCCAAATTAGAGAAGGCAGCATGAGGGCTGGGGAGGGGGCATCAGATGTTGCTGAGGGTTGGGGGGAAAAGCCTTGAGGGCCACATGCGGCCCTTGGACCACATGTTGGGCCACCTGCAATATACATTTGACATTAAGTAATTTGCATATTAAATCAAAATATCAGAAATTCACTGTTCCAAGGATATAACACAACTGCTAGCAACACTGATTTTAAGGCTGTACAGTGGTGCCTCGCAAGACGAAATTAATTCATTCCGCGAGTTTTGTCGTCTTGCGATTTTTTTTCGTCTTGCGAAGCACGGTGTCGGGAAAGTTTTGGGAAAGCTTCAAAAATCACCAAAGTCTTTAAAAACCTCAAAAAAGGCTACCACACCGCGTTCTATGAGTTGCTCCTCAAAGTCAAGTCGCAACTGTATTAACGGTGTTAAGAAAAAAGGAAACAAACTTGCAAGACGTTTCTGTCTTGCGAAGCAAACCCATAGGGAAAATAGTCTTGCGAAGCAGCTCAAAAAACAAAAAACCCTTTCGTCTAGCGAGTTTTTTTGTCTTGCGAGGCATTCGTCTTGCGAGGTACCACTGTAGTTATACCGACATGGTACTGCACATTATTTCTGTGAAACGTTTCAACTGAATTAATAGCCAAGGATTACAATTTTAATTAAAAAATGAAAACAAATGTTACTGCATATTAGTAACAACTTTCCCCCTTTACAACAGGGATCTGAGCTTTTCCATTTCAGGGTATCAACTATTCCTGGAGTCTCCTTTTGTAACTTATTTGACGAATTTCAGGTATTGTCATTAGCTCTTTTTTAAAAACAACACACAAATTACACCATACTATAGAATGAATTAACAAACATAAAATAGGATACGAGATTGTACAAAATGTTTCCACATATTTAGCCCTTACTTCAGCACATTCCCAGAGAACAGCAGGAATTAGCGGGTGCAAGGGGACTGGACTGGAGAAGGACACTTTAGGGAAACACACAGAAGTGGAAGCTAAAGCAGACTGGAGCTCATATATATATATATATCCTCATACAGGGTGTGTTTTTTAAAAGAACACGTGTACTCTGTATCCACAGGGCCTCTTTTAAAGGACTCACCCTGTATATATGAATGACTTTCTGGATGCCAAGGCCCAGGTCTGAGGCAAGTACTCTTTAGTGAGAGAAGCCCAGCAGATATTTAAATAGCACAACTGTGACTTCAGTCGTTGACTAAGAACACTGCAAGGCAGGAGTAGCCTCTTAGCTCACAAAGGCTTTGAATGGTGCCTGAAGATTTTGCTTTGTCACTTCTGTTGTACAAGCTCTAGAAACATAATTGTGAGGGGTGGGGGTGGGGGTTAATTAAAGTTCAGAGTTTAGGCCATGTGCTGGCTCTGGCACAGCAATATGCCCCCTGCCCTCTTGGCAGACCTGCCAGTGCCAAACATATGACCATGGAAAGGCTGCCATCTCAAACAAGAGCTGATAGAGTCACTTGGATAATCTGGGCCAGGTTAACTTTCTGCTCCAGCCTTTCCAATTTAATGCCTTCCAGGTGATTTGGGACTGCAAAGGGCTAATAGGGATGGAAGTCCCAAATGTCTGGGAAGGCTAGTCTGCCCTGGCTGGCAGCACCTCTCCAATATTTCAGGGAGAGTTCCAGCATGGTTGCTGCCGGTTCCGCCTCCTATTTAAGCAGTTGGCCCCGCCTCCCTGCAGGGCTGATTAGCTAACTGAGCTTTGGTGGGAACCTCCAATGGCTATCACAGGGAGTCAGGCCAGCCCAGCCAGCTGGTGGGTCTCAAGGGGCCGGGGTGCTGCACGTGGTCCCGCAAAAGGCTCCCACAAGGAAGGTGTGAGCGCTCATTCTTAGCCCATACTTTTCTGGGTATTTTATTTTACGAGGTACAATATAATGCAGCATCTTGCAACAAACCGCATGCAACGCTTACCAAATTGGTTTCCCTATAAACTCAGATGACTGCTTCTGTTCCCCCACCACTTAGATTTGCATATGCCAGCTTTCGCTATCACTTAGACCGGTTTCACTATCTTGTAGTCAACATTATGAACAATAGTCAATTTAAAGGGAAGTGACTGCTGGAATTACAATATTTTCTGTTGCAGATTTATATTGACGATTCTCCACTGGCATTCCCAGGAAACTATCTTATCAGTTCAATGACGACTATATTAATTGGAGGCATTATTTTTGTGGCATTTATTCTGTATGTATTTGAAATTGAGATAAGGAACTTCTTAAAAAGGAAACTAAGAAGAAATAAAGTGGCATCAAAACCCCCACCCAAGAGAACTTCAGTAGATTCTGGTGATTCTGCAGGAAGTTGACTGGCAATAGTAATAACGTTATAATAATGTGTTGGTTTTTAAAGTTGCTATAAGACCCACCTGTTGCTTTTATCAGTAACTATGTTCCACAAATGTTAATGGTATTTTTTTGAATGAACATATGTACAACTATTTCATCTTTAGCTGTAGTCTTTCTGTTTAGGAAAAATATTTTTGAAAAGATGTGAGGAATTTTCACTTGTTCTTCCTTAGGATGAAACGCATTTAGTCGCTGCTTGTCATGAATTTTACTGAAGTTTATTGGGCAAGATTCCCCCCCTCTCCAAAAATGTCACTGAAGCAGTATACAATAAAATAGTTCATATATTTAAAATACAGTGCATTGCTAAATGTGTCTACTTGCGCCTCTGCTTATTTTATGTACCGGTTATTTCTTCCTCCTTTCTTCCTCCGAAGCGGTACCTATTTATCTACTTGCACTTTGATGTGCTTTCGAACTGCTAGGTTGGCAGGAGCATAGCTGTCAAATGTCCCTTATCTGAAGGGACAGTCCCTTATCCCAGCGCCATGTCCCGCTACTGTCCCTTATTGATGGATGTCCCTTAAATGATGTCCCTTAAATTTCAAAGGAAGCAGCTCCTCTCCCTCCCTCCCTGCCGGCCAGGGAGGAGGGAGGCTCCAACTGTGTTGCTCACCCAATAAGAAGTCTAAGAACGACTGGGGGGTGGAGCTTGCATGCCTTGTGTGTGGCTAGTTAATGCAAGCTGAGGGGGGTTTTGAATGCTGGGCGCTATTTTGTTGCACGTGCTGCTGCAAACTTTGCAGTGCAAAGCCAGGTCGGGGAGCTGCATAGTTGAGGCTGCATAGGCCTTGTGGTGCATGTGATTCAGATTCTATTCTGTTGAACCTCTGGTTACAAAGTTGGTTGGACAGTGTTCTCGAAGCTACCCAGCATGAGTTTGACCAGACTGCAGGAGGACAGGAAGACTGGAGTGCCTGGAACAGGTGAGGCTGCAGGTCCCTTATTTTGGCTGCTGGTCCCTTATTTTCAAGGCTGCTGGTCCCTTATTTTCAAATCTGTAAGTTGACAGCTATGGGCAGGAGCAGGGACCAAGCAACAGGAGCTCACCCCGTTGCGGGGATTCGAACCGCCGACCTTCTGATCGGCAAGTCCTAGGCTCTGTGGTTTAACCCACAGCACCACCCACGTCCCCCCCAAAAAAGATTAGGATTAGGCAAATTCATTGAGGGTATGGCTGTCAATAGCTACTAGTCATGATGGCTGTGTTCTGCCTCCAATATTAGGCGGGAATCAGAGTCATAGTGGGAAGCTCAGTGAAAATACCAACCCAGTGCGGCATCTCTAAAAAAGGCAAATTTCATGCTAGGAACCATTAGGAAAGGAATTGGGAATAAAAACTGCTGATAGCATAATGCTGTCATATAAATCCATGATGCGACTGCATTTGGAGTACTGTGTTACAGAATGTCAGAGCTCTTCCCTCCCCCAGCTGAGTTCTCAGGTTTTTCTGAGGAGAGGAAATATCTGCTAATCCAGAGTATAGATACAGCCAGAGAGGGCTTTTTTGGCAGTACAAATGCTGCCCTCTAGTGTCCCTCACGTAAGTCATTTCTGCACAGCCAGTTTTAATATATTGTTTTGTTGTTTATCAAAACAAGTCGAGTGAGCTTCCAGGGCTCAAAGTGCGCTGTCAAATAAGTGAATTTGTGTTCCTTTTAATTTTGGCCTGAATTAGGCTTAGGTTCTCTTCCAAATTCAAACTCTGTGCATCTCCTGAACGTGTTACCATTAGCACAACAGAGTCTGGAGGCTTCTACACCTCTGCGCATCTCCTGTGGAATGCAAAGCAGCATTTTGGGCATCAGACTCCTTGGGAAATGTACTTCCTGTAGATCCTGCAGTTAAGGGGTCAGGAGCCATAGCAGCTTCATCCTCTATAGTTCTCTGCGGATACTTGTGGCAGCGCTTGCAGGGAAAACCTTCCTTATAATCCCTTGGTAAAATTGGGTGAAAAGGGGAAGGGGTGACAACTGCATTCTGGAGGGCTGAAACTGAGCCAAGCCCATTATGAGCTGAGTCTGAATTCTGGTGAAGGTTTGCGCTCAGCTCATAATGGGCTTGGAGGATTTCTCAACTGTGAAAATCATATAACCATATCATGAATTATTTCATTTGTATCCATAGATCTCAGGGCAGTTCACAACATAAAAATACAAGATCAAAATATATAATTAAAACACACACAAAAAATAGTGTGCAATTCTAGAACTGGAAAGGACCACAAAGGGCATCTAGTCCAAATCCCTGCTGCACAGGAATATTTTACCCAATGTGGTGCTTAAATCCACAACCCTGAGATTACCGTATTTTTCGCCCTATAGGGTGCACCGGCCCATAGGGCGCACCTAGTTTTCAGGGGGGGAAATCAAGGGGGAAAATAAGATCCCCCCCCCCGCAGCTCTGGGAGCAGCAGACAGGCTGCACGCAGCCTGTGCGCTACTCCAAGACCTTCTCCCTGCTTTTGCGGGAGGTGGCGGAATTCCCCCACCTCCTGCAAAAGCCCACAGGAGCCACGCGCGACTCCTGCCGGCTTTTCGACCAGGAGGGAGAAGGGACTGAAACGGCCAGTCAGTCCCTTGTCCCTCCTCGGGGAAAAGCCCCCAAGAGCGGCACGCTCTTTAAAGGGTGCCCGGCATCCTGCAGGCTTTTCTACGAGGTGGGGGAATTCGCCCACCTCGTAGAAAAGCCAGCAGAAGTCGCGCAGCCTTTAAAGAGCGCGCGGCTTCTGCGTGCTTTTGCGGGAGGTGGGGGAATTCCCCCATCTCCCGCAAAAGCCCACAGGAGGGAGAAGGGACTGACTCCACCAGTCAGTCCCTTCTTCCTCCTTGGGGAAAAGCCCCCAAGAGCGGTGCGCTCTTTAAAGAGCGTGCGGCTCCTGCGGGCTTTTCGACCCAGATTGTGCCCCCCGATCCTCTGGGGCTGGCGATGGGGGAAGCGCTGCTTTCCCCCACCGCCACCCTCAAAGAGCAGACTCTCCTGGCTTCAGCGGAAGCAACGCGAAGCCTCCGGAGAACAGGCTTCGGAGGCTTCGCATTGCTATCGCTGAAGCCAAGGAGCCTGCATTCGCCCCATAGGACGCACACACATTTCCCCTTCATTTTTGGAGGGGAAAAAGTGCGTCCTATAGGGCGAAAAATACGGTATCTACCGACTAAATGTCAGCACAATTGCTAGTTAGCACTCAAAGAACACCCACTAGACATTTGTCGTGTGCCATCTTCCTAAGGTAGAATATCTGTAATGAGACTATAATATTTTCACAGGATTTAGATATCGTTATGTTGTATATATGAGATCATTCACATTGGAATAAACCTGTCATCTGAGCAAAAAAATGCAATTCTTTGGCTGCTATTATTTTTATTTAATTTATGTATTACGTTAATATACCACTTTTTTTCCCTCCAAGGAGTTCGAGATGGTTTACCCACATGGCGAGCTTCATACAGTTGTCTGGAATATGGTTCATGAGTGAATGCTCTTCAGCATTTCCTATGACCACAAGTAGTGATGAACTGAAACTATATAGCCAATTCCTGTGTAATTTGTGGAATGTGTGTGAATGTGTTGAGGAGAGTAATACCTTCTGTGCTAGGTTTTCCCTTGCTGTTCTACTTTAAGCAGAATAACACCTAGTTTGTTGACTTTTTCCAAATGACAAATGCCATGAACGCTACTGCTGCCCCTTGAAGTAAGGGGTCACCGTACCTCCTTAATGCCCACTTGACCACTTCAGTCTGCAGAGGTGTCTTCACTGCACTTTTTCCGGTGACGGCTTAAAACATTTTTGTGCAGGCATGTCTATCCAGACATGTGGACACTAACATGTGTTTTTAGTCTGTTTTTAAAAAATCTTTTTTAAACACCTGTTTTTAGCTATATTTTATGGCTCATTTTAATGCTTTTGTTGGAAGCCGCCTAGAGTAGCTGGGGAAACCCAGCCAGATGGGCAGGGTATAAATAAATAAATTATTTATTATTATTATTATTATTATTATTATTTGTCAGGGGTTCAGGAGAGAGGCACAGGGTAGGCAGGAGATGGAGAGCGATGGGGAGGAATCCCAAGCCAGCGAGGAAGAGGATGACAATGACTCAAGAGATTCCATGAGTCTTTCCAGCGAATCAGAGGATTCCCAGAAGGGGGCGCCGGTGGTCAAGGCCAGGGAAGCCCCAGGGGGGACGTGTCAGGAGCAGGGGGCTAGCGGAGGATCCCAAAGTGGCAGCTGGGCGTCAGGACCAGCCTCCCCACCAGAGTGCAGCGAAGGGGTGGAGTTTCCAGTGTGTCAGGGAAGCGGCTCCGGCAGCAGAGAAGGGAGGGAGGTCAGAGCAAGCCGCCCTCCCGGAAGGGGAGGGAGCAGTGAAGGGAGTAGTGTAACTGTCAAAGGAAAGTTAGAGGTTTGGCGCGCGCCAAGTTCCAAATGTAGAGGCGCGCGGAAGTACAGGGAGCCCGGAGGAGGGGCCAGGTCCCAAAGCCCGCAGGAGGGGGAAGAGCAGTCTGATTCCGCGTCAGAGGAATCCAGGAGGGGCGAAACCCCAGCGGGCAGAAGGACCCTGCGGAAAAGGAAGGAGAGAAAGAGGTGGAGCAGCGCAAGCCTCTTAAATTGGTGCAGGGGAGGGACGGATTCAAAGGGGACTTCAGCGGTCTAAGCGTAGCAGACGTAAGGCTGCGCGCCTAGGATGTCAAGCAAACAATGAACTGCAATAAACACTTTTGTATATAAGAAGACATAGGCGTTGGTCTTTTGTGAGCTGAGACTTGAGGCAGCCTTGACAGTATTATTATTACCAGGGTTGCTTTAGTCTCTGCCCCAAAGGACCTTTCTGGGACAGCCATCCCACAAGGCAGGTGAGGGAACCTTTAACCCTCCAGATGTTGTTGATCTGCAACTCCTATCAGTTCCAGCAAGCATGGCTAATGGTAAGGATTGTGGGAGTTGTAGGCCAAAGTTCCTCC